TCCAGATATAACAGAGGTGTTCCAGATGCTAAAATTAAGATCTATGATGTAGGAAAAAAGAAGGCTAATGTTGAGGAATTCCCAGTACTTAATAATTAATATGAATTAGGCTGTCATTCACATTGTTTCAGATGAAAAGGAATAAATTTCATCAGAAGCCTTAGAAGCATGCAGAGTTGCCATCAATAAATACATGATTAAGAAAGTTGGAAAAGATGCATTCCATCTTAGATGCAGAGTTCATCCATGGCACGTACTCAGAATCAACAAAATGCTTTCATGTGCTGGTGCAGATAGACTATAAACCGGTATGAGAGGAGCCTTTGGTAAACCAAATGGTTTATGTGCCAGAGTTAAAATTGGTAGCATTCTCTACTCTTTGAGATGCAAAGATGCTTCAATCAATCATGCTATGGAAGCATTGAGAAGAGGAAAGAATAAGTTTCCAGGAAGATAAAAGATTGTTGTCTCAGCCAAATGGGGTTTCACTAACTATTTCAGATCTGACTATCTCAAATATAAGGCTAATGTATTACCATAAATTAATATTTTAGGATGAATTATAATACTATGGTGTTCACGTTTAAAAATTGAGATAACATGGTCCATTGGAAAAATTGAAGATTTTCTAAGCCCTAAGAAAATGATTTGTTTAGAATAATCATATCATATATTAAATTATCGTATATAGTTTCTAATTAAATTTATTGTCTTCTTTCTTTCATTTATTTATTATAATTATTAAATAATGATATATAGATTGATTGGTGAATCCTTCAATTTAAGAATTTTGAAATTAGTTGTGAAATCACAAGAAGATAATTAAAAATAATAAAAATAATAATAATTCTTAGATGTATTATTTTTGTAAATCATAAAGGATTTCTATATTCTAATTTATTATAATTAGAATTCTAAGATTATTAATATTGATTTGAATAAAAGGAGGCATGCTTCTTAAGAATTTATTATTTTTTTAAATTTTTAATAATATTATGTTATTAAATCTAATTCAAATAATTTTCTTCAACTTATTTGTTTGGATTATAAAACCTTCACTTGCTTTTGGACTATCACTTTTGTACTATTTCACTTATTCAACAATTGTGCTTACAGATTTTATCCTTTCATTTTTTGTAAGAGATTGTGAATTAAGAAATAAAAATTTCATAAATCAAGTCAGAATAAAAATCAATGAGCTACGTCCTTATCCAGGAGTATACACTTCAGCAAGTACTTATTTTATCTTAATTATTAAGCTGATATGATTACAGAAAAAGGATATAATTTAGAAATTCATCAAATCTTAACAGAAGACGGATACATTCTCACAGCCTGGAGAATGTATAAAAATATCAAAAAGGAATATAAATATCCTATGTAAATATACAATAAAATATTATTCTTAGTGTACTACAACATGGTTTGTTAGATAGTTCATGGTCTTGGTTTATTAATAATACTAATGAACAAACTCTGCCTTATATCTTAGCAGATAAAGGTTATGATGTTTGGTTGACTAATAATAGAGGAAATAAATATTCTATGGGACATAGCAAGATTCCAGGTGTTTCATACAATAAAAAATATTGGAATTTTAGTTTTGATGATATTTAGAAATATGATTTCAAAGCAATAATAAATCATGTTAAGAGAGCTTCATAAAAAGAGAAAGTAATTTATATAGGCCATTCCTAAGGTTCAACTTAAGCATTTGCATATTTATCAAATAATATTGATTTCTAAGAAAACTTAAAATGCTTTATTGCATTAGGACCTGTTATTTATATTAAAAATTCAGTAATAAATATAATATTATTATAATAGAAATCAGTATTTCTTAAATTTGCTGTAAAAACATGGATATTTGAAATCACAAAATTAATTGGAATACCATACTTTTTTGTTTTTGATGATTGTTTTAATTTAAAAATAGGTGCACTTTGTGATATGATTCCTTGGATCTACAGAAAATTCTTGTTTTCAATAACCAATCTGATTTGTGGATATCCATTATAAAATAAAATAGATCTTAAGAAATTTGGATTTATGGTGTCTCATGAACCTGGAGGTACATCAACAAAAACATTGGTTTAATGGTAATAGTATATTGATTCATATTTAGGATGTAATTTTATAGAAATGGAACATTTTCTTATTTTGATTATGGTAGATCTAGAAATATTAAAGAATATGGTTAATCTATTCCTCCAAAATATAATGTAGAAAATCTTTGTTAATTAAAAATACCAAAATATTTCTATATTGGAACTAAGGATGTAATTGCTGATGAAAAAGATCTTTAAATGACAATTCCATTATTTGACCCATCCACTCTTTAAATTAAAATGATAAATGATTATGCTCATTTAGATTATGTTTGGGCTATTGATGCTTACAAGAAGCTTTATGCCAATATATTAGAAAATATTGAATAAAATTAAACATTATGATAAAATCAATAAAAATATTAGTTAAATAAATACATATAAAATGAATATCAGTTCTTATGAAATTGAATTGCCTATAAATAAATTATCTCCTTATTAACAACTATATCGAGGAAGGCATAAAAATGGTTAAGTTTATCTTTTGCATATTTTTCCAAGATAATATTTAACATAGGAAATGATTGATCAAATAAATTTCAGAGAAAAATAGTTTGACTATATATTTGAAATAATAGAATCTTAAGAAGCCATATTAATTTCTTATTAAGATAGTGCTTTTTGGATAAATGTAGAATAATAGATAAAAATTGAATAATTAAAATCCCTTTATTAACAATTATATCAAAAATATTCCATTTTAGAAGGGAAATTAGATTTTGATCCAGACTTAATATTTACATGTGATGGTTAGCTATATATTTTAGATTATGGTATAAGTGATTTTGTAATGAAAAAACACAAAGATTTTGAATACACTACAAAAACAAAAACATATCTCTTTGGTTTATTACTATTAAATCTTAATTGTTAAAAAAATATGAGTGATAAAATATATTAATGTAAGGATTAATATTTAATTGATTATTATATCAAATAAGAAGCAGAAAATAATCGCTTAAATTATGATATTTTAGAATCTATTCTCAGAATGATTAAATTGGATCCTACTCAAAGACCAACATTTTTAGAAGTAGGATAATGGAGATAATTTTATTCTAAAAAATAAATTAAGAAACATAGTTCTAGTGTAATAGACTTTACAAATACTATTATTCCTTCTTAAAATAATACTATTATAAATTCATCTTAAAGAACTATTAAACAATAACACTATTAATCTTAATATGAAACAATTCATAATGAATCTGTTAGAGTAGCTATTTAAAGATAAAAAAGATAAATTCCAATTTCTAATTACAAATGCTCATCCTATGATTTTGCATCTGCTATTATGACTAAAAATATATAAAATAAAAAATTATCTGCCTCTAATATTAACAAAGATAGTTGTACATAATAATCATTTTATAAAAATGGTACTTTGTAAAATAATATTCAATAAAGTGCAATCTCGAACAATAAAAATCATAATTATTTCTTTTATTAAAAGTCTGCAATCTCTCAATAAAAATTATAATAGATAGCTCTTTGTAGAGAATTTAACAACACTTAATAAATATAAAAAATGGAGAGAAATTTTCCATTTATATCTGATGGATCTCCAGTACCTGAAATAATTGTTAATAAACCTGTAACTAATCATATTTCAAATGCATAAAAAATAATAAAACATACTAATAATGATAATTAATAACACAATGAAAAATATAACTAATAATTAAATAATTCAATATTTCTAAATATTCCTAATTCAATTTAAACTGATAAATTTAATAATACTCAAATACCAAATACACAAATTAATAGAGATAATCCTAAGTCTCCTTTTTTAAATATGAATAATTAATAATTAAAAGAAACCATTATTTTGAATAAAGAAGAGTAAACTGATTAATTTAATCAATAATAATAAGTAATTTAACAAAATAAATTAAAAACACCTGCAGCTGTATAATATAATACAAACGAAGAAGATAAAATTGAAGATTTAGTATTATTAGACTAAATTAATTCTAACTTAAATCAAATCTAGACTTAATAATAGAATTAATAAATAAAAAATAAAAAATAAGAATTCATCAAAAAACCTATCTAGGATTATTAACTAAAATAGCAAAAGTCTAATTCAGATTAATAAGGAAATAATGATTATTATTAAGAAAAAGCATAAAATTAAGAAATTTTAAATTTCTAGGATCCAAAAATCTTAATTCCTTAATAATAATTTGTATAGAATCTAGAAGATCAAACTGAATAGAACATAAATTATACTGATTATATAAAAAAGTATTTGTTTATCTATTTTAGATATTTTCATTATTTATCAATTATAGAATATATTATTCTAACTGTTAATGACTTGAATGAAAAATTAATGACATTAGGGAAATAATGGATTATTCCACTAACCTTAATTTATAAAGTATTTACATATATAACGATTAGAGAGCATATGTAATTAGAAGACTTTTTCTTTAAGATATAATAAAAGAAAAGAATATATTTGATCTTCATGATTTCATTAAATTTAAAACTTCACAATAGTATTAATAAATGATAGTTAATATAACATAATAAAATGAGAAAATAGAGAAGGAATTTTAATCATTGTTGGAGAAGGCTTGTAGTTATCTTATTACAATGGATGATGTATCTTAATAGAAATTAGAATCATAATTAAATTTAAATATTAAAACAAGTACAAAAGTTTAACCATAGAAATATTTATATACTTAATTATATCCTAAGATTAAATCCTCTCTAGCAAAAGCTAAAGAGGGGAATTTTTAAAACAATTAATTCTCAGAGAGGGATTGGATTTAATCTAAATTATTATGCTTATATACAATATTAATCATTGATTTAGATTTATATTAAATTGAATCTTAACATTTTAAAGAATCAACACTAATTAAATATAGAGAAAATAAAAATAATGATCTAGTTTAAATTCATTGCAAAGAATTAGAAATAATAATTAATTAACTTCCATAATTTAATGCATGAATTAAAATATATATATATATATTTATAAAATCAGGTACAAATAAGATTTTTTTATCTTTAATCTTTGAATCTAACTTACTTTTTTTGAGGAGAATTAGTTTCGATTTCTGATTCTTTTCTTTTTAAAATTGAATTAGGAGTTAATGATCTAAATTTAGTAGGACTATCTAATCCAATAATATATGCATGATCATCGCAAATATCACTAATCTTTCTTCTAATTTATTAAACTTTATCTTTTTTCTCAGGTAAATCAGAATATTTTCTTTTTGGTACTATTTTCTCTAAATTTTTATGTGTATTTTTAAGAGATTCTCTTTTTTTCTTTGATTTCTCTTATAGAATATATTGATTTTAATGAGGAGAATGAGATTGGCTTTTTTCTTATAACTTTTTTTTTTTAGTAGCAGATTAGAATTTAGGGCTTTATTATTGGTTTTATTGATGATATCGTTATTTTTGAGTTAGCAAATTGATCTGTAATTTAGGTTGAATAGTTTTTTCAGACTTTAGGTTGTTTTAATGTTTGCTTTCTTTTATTTAGCAAAATTCTTTTTAAAATAAACTTTCTTCAGAAGGAACTCTAACTAAAGATTTAATTTCATTTTATTTGGAAATGCTAGGCTTAGTAGGTGATCTTAATTAAGCATTAGGGATTTCCATTTATGTTAATTAACTTGCTCCTATCATACTATCCAATTAAGGTTTAGCAATTCGGCCATTTTCAAAAAATGAATCTTATCTCATAATTGTACTTCTTTCTGAACCTTATTGATTGAATGAACAATTGCTACCCATTTAGGATTTATTATATTAATAATAAAAGTAAATAAAGTTATATCTTGAATGACATAATATGATAATTATAAGTTTAAAAATGAAAAAAGAAAAATGAAATCTTTTTAAAAATGATTTTTTCTGAATTTCTAATCATCAATTACTTCTTAAAAAAGAGTAATAGTTATTTAAAAAATGTAATATTATATTAAATTTTGATAATTATAAATAACAATATTATAAGTTTGATTAAAAAGTTTTAGTAATTTATTACATTAACAAAAATAATAATAGGTAGAAAAAATATTGAAAAATAAATCAAGCTTATCTAAGCTTTTCTATAACAGTATCCATAATCTTTCTTGGATCATCTTCTTCAGCCTTCTCAGCATTTAATTAATCATAATCTATCTCCACACATCTTTAAACTTTTTTATGAATTATAATAATATCTACTAGATTGTCTAATAATAACATGATAGATCTAGATGGAGTTCTTTTATGTTCCTCAAGCATTTCTTAACTTAAAATAATTAATTAATTAGTACCATAATTATTTAATTAATGTATTTAAAGTTGCATTTAATTTATCACATTCATTATCAGTACAATTCTAATCCTTTGAATTTATGTCCAATTCTCTATCACAATGTTACAATTAACCATTTCTTGATAATGTTTCAATTAAATCAGAATGAAATTATATATATTAATCTTAATCTTTTTTAATAGCTGGAACCATAATTTAATTAGCTAAAGCATATAAACTATTTTGCATTGCCATATTAGTTTTACTTAAACATATCATAAGTTTTTCTACAATGCTATTTTTATTAGATGTGTATCTTGGGAATAATTCAGTTGTTAATACAAAATTCCTAAATATAATTTCATTTCTTAAACTCTTAATAGAAGGTGTTTATGGTTAGACTGAAATTGGTTAAATAGGAGCAGATGCTTAATGCATAGGTGATTATGATGGACCTTAAAATATAGATTTCTTTCTTTCTTTTTCATTATTTGATGAACTCTAATGATTATTAACTCTAATATTTAAATTAGGAGAAGTTTATATTCTCTAATCAGATGGAAGATTCACAACTTCAAACATTTCAAATACTTTTTCCCATGAAATTCTATCATTTTCTTCTATAGTTAATGTTTTTCTCAAGAATTCTTCACATTTAGTAGTTAGAAAACCTTTTTTTATTGAAACAGGAACACTTAAAATATTCTTTAATAAGTCTCTTTCATCTCTTCCTTTCCAAGGAACATCAGCAAATACCATTTCATAAAATATGACACCAAGAGACCAAATATCACATTTAGTAGAATAAGGTTTTCTTGCTAAAATTTATGGAGCCATATATAATGGAGATCCTACACATGATCTTAGTAATTGATTACTAAAATTATCAACATATTTAGCAAATCCAAAATCAGCAATTTTAAATATTCCTTCATGACTAAGAATATTTGCTGGTTTTAAATCTCTATGTATGATAGCATTAGATACAAGTTCACGAAATCCTTATATGATTTATTTCATAATTTTCCAAGCATCTTATTCATTATATTTTTTTCTACTCATAATTTCTCTTAGATCTCCATCTTTACAAAATTCTGTTATAATATAAAGACTTCTTTGTGTTGAAATTAAATCAATAAATTTGACTATATTTTTATGATTAAATTTCTTGAGAATTTCAATTTCTTATATGATTGATTGTTTAAGATAATTATCTCTTTCAAAATTACGTAAATCTAGTTTTTTGATAGCCACCTTTAAATTAGTTGTGGTATCAAGTCCTTAGTATACTTTACCATAAGCACCTTCCCCTAAACAATGTTTTAGATTGTAGCTGTAATTACCAATAACTTTGACTTAGCCTTATTACATATCAACGGTTAATATTTAAAATAAAAATCAAAAGAAAAAATAATGTATTTAATAAATTAATTAAAAGATGCCCAAAATTGAAAATACCACAGGAATGCCAATAAATTTGATTATAGATGAACTAAAAAGTGATGATATACGAAAAAGGATTCATTCAGTCAAACATTTAGATTTGATTGCTAGTACAATTGGTCCAGATAGAACAAAAAATGAACTCATCCCTTTCATTTAAGGTATGCAAATATCTAATTTAGAATTGTTGGATGATGATGATGAAGTATTGATCGAATTAGTAGATTCACTATCAAGAAATTTTGTAGAGCTTGTAGGAGGTTAAGTATAAGTTTTACTGCCTACATTTGAAGCATTATGCAGAGTAGAAGATGCTTCAGTAAGAGAAAAAGTAAAATAATTATTAATATAGGCTGCCAATCAAATCAAAAAATGTCTAACTTAATTACCAGACTAAAAGAAAGTTGAAGAATTATCAATAGGAATTATAAAGAGATTAAATGATAGCGATTATTACATGGCAAAGAATGCAGTAGCTATTTTAATTCCAGCAATCTTTAATTAAGTTTCATAGAATAATTAGAATGATTTAATTAATATCATACTCAAAATGTCTTAAGATCAAATTCCATAAGTTAGAAAATTCACATCTATGTATTTTTAAGTATTAATTTTTCAAAATTTAGGATTTGGTTAAACATTTCCCATTAGTAAATGAAACCTTCATTTAAAATATATTGAATTCCTTTATTAAAGATGAATAAGACTTTATTAGAATGTATATAGTAGATGCATTAATACAAGCAAGCAAAACACCTTTCTTATAAAAATAACAAAACTTTGTTCTTAATATGTTTAAATAATTAGCTGAAGATCAATCATGGAGAGTTAGATATTATTTTTGTGATAAATTGGCTGAAGTAAGATTATTAAATATAAAAAAGATAGGCGAGGCTGTGACTAAAGAAGGTTATAGAAAGAATTTTTAAAATTACCATCTCAAATTTTTATAAGATAATGAACCTGAAATGAAATCCATAGCTGCATTAAAAATTGAAAGAGTAAGTACTTTAATGGATCCAGAAGATATATTAAATAAATTGATTCCTCTTTTAAAATCAATATAGTCTGATACTAATGCATTTGTTAGAAGTAATTTATTTAAATATTAAATCTAATAGATGCATTAGCTTCTTCAGTCTTGGCATTATGTCCTATTATTGGAAAGAAGAATACTAGTGAATAAATCTTACCAATCTTTTTGACCTTACTCAAAGACTAAGATTCAGAAGTTAGAATAACACTCTTTAAAAAATTAAGTCTTATTACAAATGTATTGGGTGTTGATTCTTTATCTCAAAGTGTTATTCCTGCTTTGACAGAATTAGCATAAGATAAGAATTGGAGAATAAGAGCTTCAACAATAGAAGTTTTGAGTTTCTTTGCAAGAGCTATAGGCCCAGAATTCTTATCTGATAAAGTTCTGAAGTTATTATTAGATTGGATGGGCGATAAAGTCTTCTCAGTTAGATAAACAGCCATTTAATAAACAGCCTAGTTGATATCTATTCTTGGACTAGCTTGGGCAGATAAAAATCTATTAACAAAAATTTGGGCATTTTAATCAATTTAAAATTATCTTCATCGATTAACTGTTTTATTCACAATCAATGTATATAATGTATTTATTATAGCAAATTACTTCCTAATTAAACAATGAATACATTATAAAAACTATAGTCCCTATTTTATAATCAATGGCCAAAGATTCAGTTGCTAATATAAGAAGCAACGTATGTAGAACATCCATATAATTGGCAAAGGAAAAAGGGGGTAATGTTGTTGATCCTATGAAAAAAATTCTATAAACTCTTAGTGATGATTAAGATGCAGAAGTGAAATACTAAGCAAAAAGTGCATTAGAATCATTGTGACTTACATAATGGTTAATAAATTATAAAATATAAAACCCATTAAATAATCCATTTTATATTCAATGATATTACAATTGTAAATAGAAATTAAAATCAGATATCCTTAATTACATAAATGGAAGGATCTTTAGCTAAATTTGTTCTAATAAAATCTTTAAGATTTTCTATGCTTTAATTACAATGCTTTAATAAATCCATAAATTCTTAATCATTTTAATATTCATCAGTCACTTTATCTAAAAACTCTTTAAATTAGAATTAAGACACATCAACTTATTCTGTTTTCATAATATATGTCATTATACATTGATTGAGTGATTATTAATATTTATCTTTCCATAACTAATTTAGAAATGATAATTACAAGCACTCTATCTTTTATATTAGTTTGAGGAGGGTTTTTAGCAAAGTCAGATTTCATTTCATCCAAATAAAATAAAATATCTCCTGTAAGCTTCTTGAAAAATGAGCATACTGAGTCTCTATCGTAATTTGGAATTTACATTAAATAAAATAATTTATTTATCTTTATTTATAAATTTCTAAATTAAACAATATTCTAAAATATTCTTAATCATATATTGCTGATCTATTGAAAATAAATAATTTCAGATATCAATTCTAATATTTGAATCAATTCTTATAATATATTTTAATAGATTAACCTTTATATAAATTTAACCCATTTTAATGTTATTTAAATTAAATTGAGTCTGATTTAGCAATCTAAATTTTATATTTTAAGTGTATTTTAATATTATAAATATGAAATAACATCTTTAATTGATTTAATTATAAAAGCAACTAAATGTTTATGAATTATAATGAACTTTTATTGCATAAAATGATAAAAATTATATTTATTAATTGAATATGAATATTAGCACTATTAATAGAGGGTTAAACTACTATTAATAATATAATATTAAGGAAAAACAATTGGAAATATTAAAATTATAATTCATAATTACGGTTTGGTGTTTTTATATTATATTATTTTATATTATATTATTATAATATATTATTATATTTATAAATTTTCTGATTAAACAATATTAATATGACATAATAATTAATTCTGGTACTCTACTAATAGATTTAAAACGCATTATTTAAGGTTGTACATTTATGAAATTCTAATATTAATAAATTATTTTTCAATTGTTATAGAAATAACAAAATGGAAAATTCAGCGCTCATTATCGTTGATGTTCAAAATGACTTTTGTGAAGGAGGCTCCCTTCCTGTATAAAAAGCCTCTGAAATCATTCCCAAGATAAACAAAGTCAGAAAATATTTTAAAAACGTAATTTTCACCTAAGATTGGCACCCACAAAATCATGTTTCCTTCAAGGTAAACCATCCGAATCTACATGAATTGTCTAAAGAAGAGATTTAGAATCTTTGGCCAGTACATTGTGTCTAAAATACCTTTGGAGCCTAAATACATAAAGACATTTAAATTGAGAATGGTGATATTTTTGTTCATAAAGGAACAAATTCTAAATATGAAAGCTATAGTGGCTTTGGATGTAAAGAAGATAAGACCAATTTACATGAAATTGTACTATTAATATAACTAATTTAGCTTCAAACCTTAAATGTGAATACAATATATGTTGGGGGATTAGCATTAGACTACTGTGTTTTATTCACTGCCATAGATGCCATCAAATTAGGATATAAAGTAAAGGTTTTAAAGGATTGCACTCAGGCAATTGATCCAGAAAATGCAAAAACGAAAATAAACTCTTTCTTTGCAGATATTCGTCGTTAGGACAGCACAATTTAGGAAAATTCTTTACAAATTTTCACTTCCTATGAGGTACAAGAATGAATATATATACTTCTATATTATTTTGAATAAAATATATAAGATTAAAGCTTTTTGAAGCAGTAGGTTGTTTGGTTTAAATGTAAAATAAAATTAATTCTTATTAATTAAATTATATAATTAAATAATATATAAATGAAGGATTAGATTTAAAGTTTTAAATCTTTATATATTTAATTTTAATACAATTATATTGGTTTATATGCAGAAAATAGAAAAAATAAATAAATATATTTTTAATCATTTTATTCATTTATTTGGATTTATTTATTCAAAGTTCTCTATTTTCCTTGATAAATCCTTTTTTTCTACATTATTTTTTTATAATTCTTCTTTGAACTATTATAATACTGTAGATGTTTTCTCCAATAAGGTTTGAATCTAAGAAATTGTTTGCTTATCTTTATCTCTAAAAGATTTTGAATTTTTAAAATCAAATGAATGTTTTTACAATAGATTTTTAGCCCTATTCCACGTTCTAGGCTTTATACTACTAGAATTAGTAGAATTCAAAGAATTTGTTCTAACCTCAGGTTTAAACAATAGTTAAGATTATTATTAATTTTGAGTATAACAATTTTGTTATTATGATGATTTAAAACTATCTTAATACTGTAATTATTGTTATGACCTTTAAGATACTAATTTATTATAAGGACTAATTTAAAGCAATTTTTTCAATCTTTGACTAATTTCATTTTATTTAAGACTTTATTTAATTGCAATTGGTGTATTAAAATCAGTCTTTGGATTTTTGATTCTTCTATGAAGTTTGTTTTGAATCTGCTTCCCAGAATCTTGTTTAATAGTTGATTTTGGTTATTTTTCGATATATGGTTATACTACCTTTAGTATTGAATTCATTGTATTATAAATTATTATAAATTACTAATGAATCAATAGTCAAGATTGGCTGGTGATTTTATCAATTAAAGAACTAATTTATTGGCTTAAAAACTTAGAGAAACAGGTGAAGATTCCAGGTAATCATAATGTTATCATTTTAGATTGGAAGAATATTTGAGATAAAAACTAATTGAATGTAGATGGAGAGATGATCTAAAGGATTATTGTAAAGAAGTCATAAGATAAAAAGGACTTGAAAAAATAACAATTGAAGAATTGACAGATATGTTATATGTTAGAGGTTAAGCTACTATTCCTAATAAAGTAAAGGAAGACTTATTATCGAGACTTAGACAATTCTTTGATGAGAATCAAATATGAATTTATTAACTGGTCATCATAACATTTATTAAATGCAATTATTCTATATTAATCTTATATTTGCAACATATTCAAGAGAGATAATTTTAAAATTCTGTTTTTGTTTCATACCTTAAGATTTTAATAATCTCTTAAAAATAACACTAGGTTTAGTTTATAACAGCTATAAATCTAATTTAATCAATCAACTGACGTTGCTGATCTTAAAATAATACTATACTGTTGAGATCCTTAAATGAATTTATTTCTTTAATGATGTGATCGTCTACCTTTAAATTCATATATAAAAAGACAATTAGCTGATGTTAAAATTGAAATTAATGATGACTGAAAAATAAAAAAATTGTATTCTATTTAATACCTCTATATAATATATGGATTACAAATATATTGTTGTTAAGGATTATTATTTTAATTAACATTATTAATATCTGATATGATGATCCATTTTTTAATTTTAAAAGATTTGATTATGATTCATTATTATGGTTACTATGAAATATTAAAATATTCTATAAATTATTTACGATTTCCATATTAATTTTAATAATTAATGTATATTTACAGAATATATAACATAAACAATAATCACAAAATCTTCATTATTTTTTATACAAATTTTAAATGGGCAATAAACCACCTCCTCCTCCTCAACCACCAAAGACTGTCAAGGGTATTATCTTTTGTTATATCAATTAGAAATGGTCAAAGAATTCTCAAGAACAATTCGAAAAATGTAAAGAGAGTTTAATAAAGAGATTATGAGAATGGAAATGTAGAGCAAAAAGCAAAAGACTGAATTAGAGAAATCAATTAAAGCAAAAGAACCTAAGGTATTTGATTATAATTATCAATTAGTCGACATAAAGAATGTTAGCTGCAGCTATATTACGAAATTAGCAATATATTCAAAAATATTAGAGACTAGACGCCTAAATGAATGATGTCATGTTCCAGTAATTATTCAGCTTTAAATATTTGTATAGATTAAACTCAGCAGCTACCACAGAAACATTAGTATAAGTGATGTCAGGAATGTCAAAGATGATGAAATAGGCTAATTCAGCTATTGATATCACGAATGTTTAATAGGCTATTGAGATATTTTCAATGGAGAGTGAAAAATAGAATTTCTTACAAGGTATGATTAAGGTATAATTTTATAGAGTAAATTGGTGAAATTATGAATGAAGACCAAGATGAGTATAATGATGAAAATGCTGATAAATTAATATAAGAAATGGAAACTAAAATGGCTGGAGCTGGTACTGGCGGTGGAGGACTCAAATAGAATAACTTGAATTAACCTATGCAGCAATAATAATAATAATAATAAGTAAACCCTCAAGAGAATTTGGATGATTTGGATGCAAAACTTAAAGCATTATGAGAAATATATATATATATCATTTAATAATAATGTATTGATATTCACTCTATTTCTAATAGAATCAAAAATTTATAATATAAAATAAAAAATTATATTATAATTAATAAAGAAATATCCTGTAATTTCTTTAGATATAGGATTGATTTATTATAAAATATATGTGTTTAATATCATAATTATAATGGTTTTTACAAATTCTGCAATTTTTCAATATCATTTTAAGTTAAACTGCTTGAAACATAATCAGAATCCTTTAAATTATATTGTAAAATATTACATTTTTAACTTATCTGGAACTATGTTATTAGACTACTGTGGTTTATGTTACTATTTTTTAGGAACTTTATTATTTCTATAATGATTCATATTCTGCTTCCTTAACCATAAGTTTCTCTTAGCATGAATGATAAACATCATTCAGTTCTTTGAACTTTTTCTTCCAAATTTTAGCTTCTTCTTCATATGTTTTGACTGATTAAGTTGTTGTAATTTCTTCAGATAATTAATCTACTTGTTAATTTAATTCTGATAATTCTTATTCTAGTTTTTAAATATAATCATCTTTTTCATTGCATTTATCAATATAATTTTAGATGTCTAATCTTAATTATCCATTTTCTCTTTGTAATTTTTCTATTAATTAAGCATTCAATAATAAATCATTTTTTAAATTAGAAATTGTTTATTAGTATGTTGTTATTTGTATTTATAATTCAGTTACTTATGTATAAGATCCATTCTGATTTGATTCTAAAAATTATAAAATGAAATAATGTACAAAGATCCAAATTTAATTATTTTAATTACTGGTTCAATTTCAGAATTGTCTCATCTTTTATTTAACATTACATTATATAATTTTAGACATCATTTCTCAATTAAACATTTTCTAATTTATACTTTTCCAAATTTTAACCAGATTATTTAAGTTCTAGTTAAATATTTACTATTGTTGATTAAAGATTAGTTATTTTCATTTATAATTCAGATATCAACATGGCAGCTGAGTTCTTGCTTTATTCTAAAATTTATTATTTATATATACAATTTTCAAAATCCAATTGTTCAATTGCAGATTATAATTAAGATTTCAGATCCATAATTTCCTTATCTCTATCTTCTACTAATTATTTTGTTCTAAATAACTCATTTTCAAGTTCAATCACTCTTTCACTATCATCATTTTACACTGCCCTTAATTCTAATGTTTCTGGTTCTACTGGTTATTGTTTTGTTGCTAATAATTCTTCTATTCCTTGCATTCTTTTCATCCACATTTCTTCAAATTTCATTAAATCCACCACTTTAATAGGATTGTCAACAACTGTTTATGTAATCATAGGTTCAATATGAGGAACATAAACTGGTGGATAATATTCAACAAATGCAGGTTTTTATCCAGAATGATTGGCATTACTTTTATGTGATGCTGGACCTTAAGGGGATAAATTATTCTAGTTTCTAATTGATAATGGGTTATCAATATTCATATATTTTTAAGGTGACTATTAAAATGGTTATACTTAATTTCTGATTGATCTAAGAGGCTCCTAGTCTAATAAGATCAATATTTTTTACTTGTTATGGTATCATTCTATTTGAAATGACATTAGGCCTAATTTATTACTATGATTAATTAATTGGTTGAGGAACACTATTTGGTATTTAAGGAATGTTTTAAGGTTATTAAGGAGGAATCTATTTAAATTTTATAAGTCAACAATAATACCATTTAAGGATAGATTTACTTCTAATTTGGGCCTAGAGAAGGCTATTAAGAATTTCGATTTTAATTTTAAGCAAATTAAGTTGGCATAGGTCCATATGATGTGTTTGGTTGTTACATTTAATTAGTGAACATTTTTAATTTACCAATAAATTTATTAATATATTATATTTTAAGTCATTTATCCTAAATATTATAAACTGAAGACTTAATTTAGATAGTTTTTCAAATTTTTAATATTGAAAATATCTTCTATTGACTTAATATATATGTAAAATAAAGTAAATAATATAGACTATTTCTGTGATGTAATAGTTAGAAATTAATATAAGAGTAGTTAGAATACAATAAAAATTGTAGTTTAAGTGATAAATAGTATGGATAGATATGGGCAATTATTATATGTAAAAAGAAGAATGACTATGCTGATTTCTTGATTATAGGTAGATATAGAAATATAGAAAAAATACGTATTTATTTTAGGTAGTTTTTAATACTATGACTATTATTGACTTAAATATGTATGAGATATATAATTATTATTATTAACGAAGCAATTTGTACTTTTAGAACACAGAGAATTTTATTTTTTTTTAATTCTTGTTTAATTAGGAAGAAATATTTATTAGCAATTTTAAGATAATTATCTGATTATAATGAGAAAATAATCCTTAATTAAAATATATAAATATAAAATGAAATATACAATCTCATATATATATAGATAATAATTACTAATTTTAAATTAATTCGTAAATGAAAATAAAGTAAATTATTGGAATATTATACCTTAATTTTATTTTAAAGTGTCCATAGTATTGTTTGTGTTTAATCAAATTGAATTAATTAATTACGTTAATTTCTATCCATTTTAGAGTGATTATATACATTTATTTGAAATGAATTTTCCAAATATACATTCATCATTTTCAAAATTTTTCCATAACATAAACATTATTTAGAATATCCTAAAAAACTAATTATAGAAAAAAAATAAATTCACTTATAAAAAATTAAGTATCTTATTTCAATAATAATGTTAATGAATTTATTAAAACTAATTAATTTATGCTAACATAGATTGTCTATTTAATGAATTTTATTTAATTCACTTTTTTAGAGTAGATAGACATTTAAAAAATAAAATAAAATATATTTTCAATTTTCTTAAAGATAATATATTATTTAGATATTTAATTCTTGAATTCTATAATCTTGATGAAATTTGATTTTATTTTTGAATATGATTATTGAATATGAGTATAAATATTATTTATCATACAAATTTAAATATTATTAAAAATATAATTTCAACAATTTATGGCTTAACCAACTCCAAGAATTATCAAAGAGACATAAAATTTAGCCAAAGATAAAGTGTAAGGAATTGATGTGACTCCAGATCCACAAAATTTCAAACATTTTTATGTCATCATATCAGGACCTCCTAATACACCATATGAAGGAGGTGTATTTGATGTTGAATTGCTTTTACCTGATGATTATCCCATGGTAAAATTACTTAAAATAGGTTTTTAGTCCCCACCTAAATGTGTTTTCAATACAAAGATTTATCATCCAAATATTGATAATTTGGGAAGAATTTGCTTAGATGTATTAAAAGATAAATGGTCACCTGCATTATAAATCAGATCTATTTTGCTATCAATTTAAGTATTGTTAAGCTCACCAAACCCTGTATGATTTGTCATAAATAATATTAAGGATGATCCATTAAATAATGAAGCAGCTAATTAATGGAAAACTAATGAAGGATTAGCTTTAATGAAAGCAAGAGAATATACATAAAAATATGCTAAAAAACATTGATTAGTATAATTTAATGAAAAACAAATATATATTTAATTTATTTTTTCTTTTAAATCAATTGGAATGGCAAATAATATTTTACAATGTTTAACATCAAATACTTATAATTTAAGTTGATTTTTCTAAGAATTTCATTTATTATTTAATTTAATAATTATGAATTCATAAAATTTTCTATAAACTGCTCTAACTAGATTTAGAATGGCGGCAAATAATGACAGAATAAATTCAATCTAAGTTGAAAACATTTTACAAAGTTTAAATTATAATGAGTCATAGATACACTCAATAGTCTCTTAAATCGAATCTGAAATAGGTGAGATGATTAACTATATAGACATTAATTAGTTCCAATAATTGTTACAACCTGTTGAATAAGAAATTCCAATTGATAAATTAACATCTGAGTAAATTTATGTAATTCAAGGAGAGTTTAAATAAGCTTTGCATTTATAGCATATTGAAAAAGTAAAGCATATCTTAAGTATGCAATAACTTATTTAATCGTAGATAAATATTAAAAAGAAGTAGATTTAGTAAACAGAATAGATCCATAAACAAGATAAATATCTACATTTATAGCAATTTAAGGTTCAGATGAAGAGGTTTCATTACAGTTACTAAAATTATTATGTGAACTGGGTGCAAATGTTAATTTTAGAGACAATCTCAAATAATCTATCTTATTTTATGTTTGTAGAGATGGTAAAACTAAACTGTTTGATTATTTAATCACCTAAGGTATAAATATATCTGATCCTGATTCTTATGGATAAACCCCTTTATTCTATGCATCAAGAGAAAATAGGGTTGATATAATTTAAAAGTAAATATATAAGAATTAACCTTTTTAGATTTATAAGATTGGGTGCTGATGTAGCTCATTTAGATACATTATCTTGTTAAACGGCTTTATTTTATGCAGCAAGTAAAGGACATTTTGAAGCTTGTAAATTATTGATAGAAGTAAGTTTATCATAATATATTTAGGCTGGTTGTCCAGTTAATCATTTAGATAATAAAAAAAAAACAGCTCTTTATTTTGCAAAGTAATCTTAGAAAAAAGAAGTTATTGATTTAATTACAGCAAGTATGTCTAAATAAAAGGAAGATGTTCACTAAAAAAAAGAAGAGGTTGTCAAAGTAACTGAATAATAAAAACAAATAAAAAAAAAATAAAAAGATGTACCAAAATAATAATACAAAATTTTACATACTGATGATAAAGGATAATAAAGAGAATTAACTAATGAAGATTTTTCAAGGTTTTAAAGATAATATCCAGAAATTGCTTAATTGATTTTAAATGCTGATGATATTATTGATGATAATATGATTAATTAATGTAAAGAAGATGAAACTTGGGAAAAAATAGCCAAAAAATTAATTGGTATGTATTATATTAAATAATTAGCTTAAATATGGAAATCAAAAGGCGCATACTTCTTCCATAAACCAGTTGATTAAAAAGAATATCATATTAATGATTATTTCGAAATTGTTAAAAGACCTATGGATTTTGGAACAATCAAAGTAATAATCAACTTATATTATAAATCAGAATAAATTGAATGTAAGTGCTTACAAATCTTGCAGAGAATTTCATGCAGACATGTTATTAGTCTTTGATAATTGTGCACTCTATAATGGTACATAAAGTGCTATTGGATAAATTGGAGTCAATATAAGAAATGAATACTTGAGCCTTAAAGATTAATTTGGATTAAGCAAATATTTGTGATTTAATTTTGCATTTCCATAATTATAAAAATATAAATACTCAAAAAATATATTAATTAAGTAAGATAAAATTGATTTATTATATTATTATATAATACTCATCAACTAATATATTTATCAGCTTGTTGCTCTAACACCTTTGAACTTTATTTGGCATGTAGGAATAAATCATGAACTTCTTGAATGTCTTATTTTCCAATTTCATCTCTTCCAGAAGTTTAAGCAAGTATATTTGCTGGAGTGAGCAAAAGAATAGCAAATCTAAAATTAATTATTAACTATATAGATACCTTAAAGAAGCTTCATTTCCTATTTAACTGAGATCTTATAAAGCTTCTTCAGATATTTTTAAGCCTTCTGTCTAGGCTCTAATGGCTAATATTTTAATAATATCTTCTAAATTATATGGAGTTGTTCTGATAATTAATAATCTTAAATAATAATAATATATTTATAATAATACCTATCTAATAAATCAACTGGTAATCCATGAGGACTAACAATATCTGTTCCTCTAATTTAAGATTAACCTCTATTGGTAGCCAAAATAACAATTGGAGCTAGAGTAGACTCTAAAGCTCTATTTAAGAATGTAAAAGCCTCTATATCAAGCATGTGACATTCATCTATAAATAAAACACCAGGAACTAATTCAGCAACTCCTTAATCAATATATTTGCTCACAACTTTATTAATTTCTCCTCTTAATTTATCTGTGATATCAGTTTTCTTTTTTTTATTTAATTGATTCATTAAAGAAACAAAATCATGTCCTCCTTATGGTTTAGCATTAGCTACATCCAAATCATGTAATGTAACATCTTAAACAATTTCTTTCTTTTTATGTACATCACCTTTTGGTAATGGTACATATTCTTCTGCTTCTAAATCATATTCACTATTGTAAATATCACATCTGCCTACTCTTTTGACATTACCACTATTAGCTTCAATATAGATGACATCTCCAATAGTTACTTTTTCTCTTGTTAAGTTTTCATGAATTGAAGGATCTAATTTCAATGTTTTTGATCCCTTAGATGTTTTTAATGTAATTACTACAGCTGATACTACTTTACCATATCTAAATTATCATTAGAATATATTAATACCCTGTTTAATCATCTTTTTCTTCTGTTTTCAAATCTGTAACTTCACCTTCCCAAACTTCTTTTGTTTCTTTAATTCTTAAACCAATTGCTCTTCTAAAATTCTCCATTAGTATTTCTGTCTTTTTCACTTCAGCTGAATACACTTCTGAACCCACCATTGGATAGAATGGAACTTTCGATCCTAATTCTTATGCTACCGCCAATGCAATTGCAGTTTTTCCTGTTCCTGGAGGTCCAGCCATAAGTAATGCTCTTCCTGCTAGCTTTTTAGATTTGACTAAATCGACAAATATTCCTGCAGCCTATAAATATTAGTATATTAGTATTACTTCTCTGGCAATTTATTATCCAACCATTCCAGATGCATTTTCTAAAGCTGTGCCATCCTCTGATAATCCCAATCCTTTAATATGACTATGATGTGCAATTCTTTGGGTTTTTGTTGTCGATTTGACTTCTTCTATCTACTATAGGTCTTAATTTGTACTTTCATCATGTTTTTAAAAATTAATTTATTTTTTTTAATTAATCTATAATTATTTTAAGTTCAATTCAAAGGTTCATAATGTAATTATGTAGTTGTTAATTTTAGAAATTTAAATGGTTTTATATGATAGATCTTAAATTAAGTATAATTTAAAATTGAATCTCAAATATTTACAAAGTAAATATTTATAAGAATTGAATGAAAATTAATTAGAATTACTAAAGTTTTATGATTGATAAGAATTCAAATTGCATTTATAATAAATGAATAAATTACTTAATGACAGATATATATAATGTTGTGCATTCTAAATATGGGTACAACTAATTTGAAATGCTCTTGATGGTTTTAATTACTGGAATAACAAATTTTGTAGTGATTCCAGCAATCATCATTATCAGAAAACAAAGAATGGATTTCTAATTTTATATGTCCATTTTTACATTGATAACAAGTTTTATGTATCACACTTTAGAAAGTCTTGATTGCAAGTTTTTTATCATTGAAGAAGGAGGTTGGCATCGATTAGATAATGTTGGATCTATTGTATGTTTTTAGATGTTATTTACATAATTAAGTGATTTGTAAAATTTACATCTTGAAACAATGTTAAATTATTTTGGACTTTTTATAACATTTGTAGCTTAAGCTAAATCTCCATGGGATTTAAATTACACAGTAGGACCTATTTTATTGTAATTATTCATTTGTATATTTTTGATAATCAAAAGAAGAAGATTACCAAGATTGAATAAATAAAAAGTACTAATCTAAAATATATATTTAAGATGAAAAAAGGTTTAATGATATTAATGGCAGCCGTAGTTTTTTTTAGTTTATCCTAAGATGAGTATAAGGATTACTTAAGATTTTATCATGGAATGTGGCATACAACAGTTGGGTTGTTTTCATTCTATATATGGCAATCAAAATGTGAAGTTGAGTTTACTTGGTAAAATTTTTATACAATCCCAACATTGAAAGAATCATATTATAAAGATGAATGAATGTTGTGCATAAATTCAATAATAAATGTCAATTAATTAATTATATCAACTCATTATAGGAAAGTCTCAGTTAATCTTTGTGCCTAAAGATTGATATCATTATCAGGATCAAATTCTAATTAATTAAGTATTTTATCAAAGCCTTTAGAAATAAACATTTCTATTGCCATATTTATATCGCTTTATGAATGCTTCCCAATTTGATATGCAAAGTTATTTATTATGTTTAAACACATCAAAACAATAGTTTTTGATATTTTGAGTTTCAACTAATTCATTACTATATCCACAACATTTCTACTCATTAAAACATATTTTAATAAATCTGTGTTTTTTAATTAAGAAAGACTTCTAATAACTTCTAAAATATCTTTGATAATTTCTGTTTCATTTTCATCTTTTTACATAAATTTAATTAAATCATGTTTAATTATTGTTTATAATACAGTAAAATCTTCATTACAACATAAATTATTTAATCCCCATAATATTATTTTTTTGAATTCTTTCTATTTGCTTCTACCTGGTTAGATATATATTTATAAAAAGAAGTCTAAGATTTTGAATTCATTCACTAATTATGTAGTTATTTAATCATCTGCCAAAGCAAAAGATGCTATAATTTCAAGTGTTTTTAATTAAATCTCTTCATCATTATTTGTCCTCTACATATCAATTAAATCATTAAATATTTTGAGTTTATTTAATAATATTGTAAATATTTCTTCTTTAGCTAAACACATATTCTTCAGAGTTATTAAAGAATATAATCTTATTTCCTTTTCATTTTATTTTATACATTCTAATACAATTGGTAAAACTTCTTTAACCTTAATAAATTAAAGATAATATACTTCATTTAATGTAAAACTAGCCACATTGTTTGAATCATAAGAAAAAAAGTTGCTTAAAAACCAACAAAAATCCTTAATATTTTCAATCTCAAAATTAAATAATAATAATATAATACTTCGAAGTAAATTAGATTATTAATCCATAATTTTTTAATAAGTGTACAAAATCCATAATCTGCTAATTATCTAGCTTTTAATCCATTATCCATACCAACTAGATTTGCTAATAAAAAGAATATTTGAGATTGAATTTGTTTATAAGAAGTCATTTACAATAAATTAAACAATTTTCTCATTATTTATTCATTTTACAAAAATTTCAAATCATCAAATACATTATAGGAATGTAAATTTGCAAATATATAAAGTAATTATTAAATAATATGATAATCTAATTCTTGTTTATTCCATATATTTATTAATAATGAATATACTTCATGTTTATTAATTAATGTTAAATTAAACTAATTTATTAGATAACTCCTAATACTTCAACAGTTGAATTTGATAAATATTATCTTATTTCATCTAAAGTCTCTTCATAATTTTAGTTCACTAAATTCATATACCAAATATGAATTTTCTCATCTGTCAATTATGTTTGTACATTATTAGTATATATTCTTCTTTTTTGTTTAAAGAGTTCTTCAGTTGCCTTTCTTCTTAATTCAACTCTAAAATTATCTCTTTTCTATTTTAATAAATCCCCAAAGATTTCCGCCATTTAGTTTTCAATTAATAATAATAATTAAACATTTAAATTGAATTCTTAATCAAAAAAACCAACTCATTATTGCTATTGTTAAACATAGTCCTAGGAAACCAAATACTCCATACATTATCAATTTTTTTTTCAATATTCTATTTTTCATAATTTTCACTAAATTATTTGATTCTCCCAAGTCTTCTCTTATATATTAAGTTTTCCTAATTGAATTATCTAAAGTCATTGATTAAGAATGTAAATTTATTGATATTTAATTTGCTTATTATTCAGTTAAATAAGCAGTTCTCTTGGCTGCTTCTAATTCTAATGTTTATCTAATTAAACGATCTTCTTATTTTAATAAAGCTTGATTAATTTATCTATCATTAAACAACTTATCTCTACTAGAATCTTCTTATTAATCTAATTATAATTATTTAAAATCCTTCTCCACTTTAGCCATATCTCTTTTATATTATTTAATTGTTTCCATTAATTCTTTTTTATAATTACCAGGTAAAGTAGATGCTTCCAACTCCATTTATTTAATCTTTAATTTATATAGAAATAAATTACACATTGTTCTGTTTATTAAAGTTCATCTTAAACTTTTGAGAAACTTTTTTCTGTTTCATCTCTTCTATCTTTACTCATTTTTAATAGATCATACATAACTGATTCCATATGAGCTTTATAGTCTTACTCATAACTTCTGAACATTTCTGATAAAGAGATTTATGAATGCATTTATAATAAAATTAAATATTAACTAATGTTTTATAAAATAATAATTAAATAATGATAGTGAATTTGATTAATTAAAAAAAATAAAAAATAAATGCTATAAAGTAGTTATCGAGATGGGTATCAGATGAAAAATACACTAACTAATATTAGGTCTAATTAGTTGAATATCAAATAAATATCTAATGACTCAATTGAAGCAGATAAAATTAAATAGATAAATGAGAAATCAATTCTAACAATATCAATCTCAACCAACTATATGTTAAATAGAATCAGGAAAAGATTTGATTGCCTAATTCCAATCAAAAAGACTCAATGTAATTTGCACCAATTTACTACCTAGGCTATTTAATAGAAGATATGGGAACAAAAGTAGATTAACTATTTAAGAAATTCAATTTTTCAATTAATAATGTGGATTATATGAGTGATCATATTAAAAGATTAACTGAAAAAGTAAATTAGGATATCAAAAAAAGACAATACTAATATCCATCTAACATCAAAATTGAAGATTACAAAAACTTTTCATATTTATCTCAAGAACACTTTTAAAATAAACAAGTAAAATTTACTATATTATAAGATAGATTTTTAATTCATTCACTAATATTGAATAGAATACAATAATTAGATAAAAAACTAAATTAGCAGATATATTAACAACATCACATAAAATAGAAAGACTTGTAACTAATGAATTTCAACTTAATTAATATAATGAAGTCATATTAGAAAAGTTATTTATTGATCATCATTTATATTAAGTTTTATAAGAATTTATTAAGAATAAAAAGAATCCTTTGATTTATGAGAAATTATTTAGAACATTGGAAAATTTTGAAACTACACATAAAGTAGAAATGAAATTGTTGGCAGATTAATTCAAAGACATAACACATAATGGAACAAATGAAGATATTTGGTATTAAATTAATTAATAATTTAAGTGAAAAAATTATTAGAAATACTGTAAATCATCTTGAGAATGATATGCTTAAATAAATTGGACATATAGATTTGTAAAATTTAAATAGAAAATTTAAAGAATATTATCTTCCTTAATTACATGATTTTGAAATATATTAAGTTGGATAATTTTATCCAAGTGGTATTCTTCTAGTATTAATGAGATGTGGAAAAGTTAATGAAGCAGAAAAATTATTATAAACACTTATATCTAATGATTAGAATGTAGCTTAATAATATTTTAGTTTCTTTGATTTGGTAAATTTGGTTACTTAATAAAAAAAAATTATTAATTAAAATGATGTTGAAGAAAAATATAGGTAATAATGTTGTGATATAATATTATAATAATGTTATTGGCTATTAATGGATGTAAGTGAAGCATATGATATTTTTGAAGAAACTAAATTTCAAAAAGATAAAGACTTTTTCTTTTGGATGATTTTGAAAACGGCTCATGTTTCTGAAAGATACATAAATTATGAAAAATATGAATATGAATCAAAAAAGTCATTCCCTCATTGGACTTTAGCTGAATTACATGAGGTTATTCCATAAACATCTGTATGTCTAAGAACTAATCTCTTTTTATAAAGGTATGATTACATTTTAAATGAATTATATAAAATTCAAAATTCATGCTTATCATAAGTTGAATATTTCATTTTAAACACAGTAATTTCAATCCTTAATATTAAATCAGAAAGTAATTAAGAAATTAAAAAATAAAATAAATGGATAATTGATAATCTTGTAAATTATACTTAAAATAAATATCCTCTTGTTTCTTGTTTGATTTTATGTGTTTCTGAATACAATTCTGAATCAATTGCAAATTTATTATAAAGAAGCAACCATGTTTCTTAAGTATTAAGTGATAAAACTACAAAAGAAAATTTGGAAAGCATTTTTGGAAATGATGAATTACTAAAAATAATAAATGAAATGGTTCATCAACATTTTGAAAAGAATTTGCACTCTGCTTTAAAAGATTTACAATAATAATTGTCTATGTCTTCAACAATAAATTAAATTAATGACTGCTAAACTGCAATATTATTAAAATTAGATGAAATGAGTAATTATATTAGACTATTGCTTAATTAAAATGAAGAAGCTTTAATAGAAACAGCTATATATTTATATCATGAAACATAATTTGTTTTGATAATCTCTAATTTTATAGTGAATTAATATTGTATTTAATAATTTGGGGTCAAATTGGATAAAAGTTAACATTTAGCTAGAAATTTAGAAAACTTACATCCAAAAATAAAGAATTTAGCAAAGACTTATAAATAATATTATTACTTGCATAGATTTTAATTGATAGAAATATTTTAATTAACTTTTGCTTTAATGAAATAAGATTAAATATCATTAAATGAAATTAATTCTATGTTAGTCAATATTAATGTACGTGAACTATCTAAATGTTTATTAGAAAATAAGTAGGTGCATTTAATAAAGATGGTTTTTTGTTAGATTTTGTATTTGATTGAATAAAAAAAATTTCTTGATAAGTCATTCACAATGTAAAAATTTAAATAATATATTTTAGTGCCAAAATCAAAGAATTCAATGAGACTCTACTCAAATATCCTGTCTCTTAAGGGATTAGAATTTGTAAATAGGAAGTTCAATTTTCTTAGATTAGTGTAGATATACTAAACAATTATTCAAAGATATTACAGATTTATTGAGGAGTGTCTCTGTTGTGATTAATTTTTATTATAATTTAAAAATTATTTTGATATCTATAAGATTGATTTTAGCATAATCATAATCTATTATAATTTATTAATTTATAATTAATATTAGTAAGATGTTATCTAAAAGAAAAGTCTCATAATAAAATCAAGAAGAATCGTCTAACTCAATTGAAAATTTATGCAATAAGATACGTAAAGTGATTGTTAGTGAGGTAGGAGAAAAATATATCTAAAACAATACAGATAAAGGGAGAAAGAAAAGGAGAACCAAATAGAAATGTAAAATCTAAGATAATCAATAACATGTTGAGAAAATGGAAAATGAAGCAGTTGAAGTTGAAGAATAATTATCTTCCATTTAAGCAATATCTGAATCTCAATCTTGGGTATTTGAAGAACTATTTGATGAAATAAATAAGCTTAATGTACTTTAAGATATTGAATGAACTTTTTTAATTAATTATGATTAAATTTTTAATTTTAATACTTGGCATAGTATTTGCAGGGACTCCCTACAACTAAAAGAAAGTTTTAGTGTTATCAGATAATCCAGCAGTCTATGTTTCACATTCACAATTTTTTAATTTGTTGAGTAAGACATACAGAGTTGATTATAAAAACATTTAATCAAATACATTCAATTTATAATTGTTTGGAGAATGGCAATATGATCATCTTGTTTTATTTAGTACTACAAATGATTTGAAAGTAAGTATCTAAGAATTATTGGACTTTTATGATTCTGGTAGAAATATTTTATTATTGGGATCAACAGACTAATCAAAGTACTTTAGAAAGTTCCTAAATAGTTTTGGTTTAGACATGCATGAATATGTAATATCAAAAAGCTATTTTAGGGCTCTTCTGTAATTGATTATTTTAATAATATCAAAGGGAATCATAATATTGTTACCACTACTAATGTGAATATACTTAAAGTAGATAAACCAGTAGCTCATTAAGGAGCAGGATTAGCAATGACACCATATGAAACATTTTAAGTTTATGGTTTAGTAAGAGGGTCAGAAACAGCATTTTCAGGTTCTAATCTTAGTCATAATATTATATATGTTGGAGCAACATAAGGAAGAAACAATGCAAGATTTGTGTCTACAGGATCTTGGGAAATATTGAGTGATGAATATTTAAATAATTCAAATTTGGGAAACTTTGAATTAACTTAGGAAATCATTAGATGGGGTTTTGGATAATCTAAGATTTTAAAGGCAGAAAATCTAATACATAGGAGATTGGATTCAGATGATATCAAACCTTATAATTATAGATTGAGAGAAGATTGTTATTTCTCAATTGATATTTTTGAATGGGATTATTAAAAGGATTAATGGATACCTTATGTTTCTACAGAAAATGATGTCATTCTAGAATTTGTTATGTTGGACCCATATTATAGAGTTCCACTAAAAAAAGGATAAGGAGCAAAATATGAATTGTCATTTAAAGTAATATATCAATAAATTTTATTCTAGATCCCAGATGTTTATGGTGTATTTTAATTCAAAATCAATTATTTAAAACCTGGATATACATTTTTAAAAATAGCAGAAAAAATCACTGTAAGACCTTTTAGACATGATGAATATGGTAGATATTTAGTCTAAGCCTACCCATATTATTTTTCAAGTTTTGGAACAATGGCTGGATTTGTTGTATTTCTAATTGCATTTTTATTAAATAAATGATATTAATTAAATTTCAAATAAAAATACATGTCAAGCGAAGAGGAAGTAATTAAGATTTAAATATTTAAACTAGAGAATGAAGCAATTGCAATCACTTCCTATAAGAAATTATTTGGATTAAACAGTCGTTCCAATCCTACTTTAAGCGATGACTGAAGTCGCTAAAGTGAGGTGAGTTTGTATAATTTAATAAAGACCTCCTAACCCTATTGAATTCATTGCTAACTATTTGATGTAGAATAATCCAGAAAAAGCGTAGGCCAGATAATAATGAGGGTTTGCGAACTGAAACTGATTATTATATAAAAACAAAATAAATATACTTAAAGATTTTATCATTATATTAGATATAAAAATTCACTTGATGATATCATCATATCCTACTTTGCAATATTATACTCTTGTAAATCCATTGGCAACCAATAATGTATGAGCTATTTTTGCTCTTTATCCTGTACCACAATATATGCTTATATCTCTTAACTTATCTAATTTTTCTAAATTTTAAGGTAATTCACTAAGAGTAATTAATTGTGCATGTTTCAATATACCTCTACCCCATTCTTCTTTGGTTCTAACATCAACAATTTATGCAAGTTTGCTTCTCTTTAAGAAATCTTAAACTTCTAATTCTGTTGGTTTATTGATTGGATTTCCTGATGATTTCCAATCATCAAAATGTAAATAACCAACAATATTATCATAACCAATTCTAGATAATCTCATAATTGTTTATTCTTCATTACCAGGTTCACAAACAATTACAATTTCTCTATCATGAGGTAAAAGTGTTCCTACCCAATGAGCAAATGGAATTTAAAGAGGTACATTAATAGATCCAGGAATGAATCCATCTGATATAGAATTTCTAGAATCAATTATTTATATTCCTTATTTTGAAACAACTTAAGCTGGAGTCAATTTTGTATTTGCTTTCTTTAATATCAAATTTAGATCTTAAAATTAATTAGTTTTATTTAATCCTGCATTATAAAAGAAGTATTAAGGTGGCTTAGGCAAATCACTAGCTACTAATTATACAAAGGTTTCTTAATCCATTTCTTGTAAAGCATAATTGTTTTTCTTTTGATTTCCAACAGTGCAACTATATCCTGCTGAGATATTCTTACCACAAGCTGATCCAGCACCATGACCAGGGAATACAATAACATCATCAGGCAATCCTAATATTTTCTATTTAAGTGAAGCATATAGCATAGAGGCTAAATCATATTGAGTAACATCACTCTTGACTGCCAAATCAGGTCTTCCAACTTCCCCTAAAAATAATGTATCTCCTGTATAAATGCTAAATAATTTAATAATATTAAATACCTATGTTATTTGCCTTCTTCATCATATAATAAAAAGCATGTTGATTCTTAAGTATGTCCTGGAGTATGTAGAGCCTGAATCTTAACTTTTCCTAGTTTTAGATACTCATTGTCGTTCAACACTTTACTTATGAATGGAGCAGTAGCTCTAGGACCCATTATTATTTAAGCATCAGTCTCTCTCTATAAACTTAGATGTCCAGCTATGAAATCAGCATGAAAATGTGTTAATAAAACATATTTTATTTTTGCTCCTCTCTCTTTTGCAATGTTGCTAAAAATTTATATATATAATATTTACAGATATGGCTATATGTCTCTAAGAGGATCGATAATTATTGCCTCTTTATTTGATTCAATATAATAAGCATACTCAGCTAAGCATCCTGTAAATATTTGTTATTGATAAAATCCTTTGCCCAATGTTTCACTTTGCTTTAGCTAAACTTCTTTAGAGAAAGGAAAGAGTGTTCTATTGAATTTTTGTAGTATTTTTATCATATTTTTAACAATATCTAATTATTGATTAATGTCCTTTAAAAATCATAATAAATTAAGATACATAATGGCCACACTAAGATGTTCAGAAAATTAATATTATAATAATTATTCATACTTCACCATAATTAATTAAATAATAATAATTAATTTATGTTTAATAGTGTAAGGAGGTACTTGTTTAGTACAGGTTCTTTGTTTACTTGGGGCTAATCTAATGGAAGTTTAGGTTATGCAGTAGGAAGTCAACAATAAGTGAAAGGAGTTTCAATGCCTTAATTAGTCAATGGATTTAATAATAATGTAGCATAAGTCCAAATGGGTTAAAACCATTCAGCTTTAATCACAAAAGATGGAGAGCTTTATACATGGGGGACTGGCAATAGTGGATAATTGGGACATAACAATGGTATTGATCTGATTGCAAATTAGATAAGGATTATAATACACCTCAATTAGTTGAATTCTTTACAAAAAATAATCTTAAAGTGAATTAAGTTGCACTTGGAGATTATCATACAGTTGCTTTAACTCATGATGGAGATGTTTGGACTTGGGGATATGGAGGCAAAGAATAAAACTTTTTAATGGATTTATTATTTTTATAAGTTGGAGCATTAGGACATGGTGATTCAAAAAATAGATACACACCTACTCCAGTTAAAGCATTAAGATCACTTAAAAAAATTAAATACATATAATCAGGAATGAGATTCACAAATGCCATAAATGAAAACAATGAATTATATGTATGGGGTAAAGGTGATTATGGTGTATTTGGAGATGGAAATAATAAATCTTTTAACATTCCATAAAGAAACGAGTTTTTTGAAGGTTACTTAAAAAAAGAACTAAATCTTTCTATTGTTAAATTAAAATCATGCAATAACTATTCAGTTGCATTGATGAGTGATGGAAATCTATATGGATGGGGAAGCAATGATTTTGGGTAAATGGGTATTAAGAATGAGATTGGTGTTGAAATTTATGAGACAGCCAATTTTCCAACTTAGGTTGTGAGAGACAAGTTTGGTAATAATAAAATTGTAGATTTTGTTGTTGCAGAAGATCTTGTTGCAGTACTCTTAGATAATAATGAAGTTTATTGGTCTGGCAGCAAGGCAGAATATTCTCCAGTTAGGTAGATTAATAATTTAATTTATCAGATTTCCTCTCCCTAGTGGCATTGCTAAAATCACAAATATTGGATGTTGTTATAGATGTATTGCTGTTGCAACTGAGGATGGAAAGCTATATTACAGAAAGAAATTCTTCGGAGAAGGAGTTGAAGATCTTTCAACTGGAATTATCACAAACGATGTGGCCACTGTATTTTAAAATTAGAATGCTAAAGTTCTTGAATTTGGAGGAGCATATCGTAATCGTTATGCTATTGTCCAAATTTGAACCATTATTTTATTAATAAAACAATATAGATTTTCAAAATGTATACATCTATCTTTTAAATAAATCCCTAATTGTTTAACTAAAATAATTTCTAATTAAAAATTTTTGAATTTCTCTTTTATTTTTCTATTTCCAAATAAGTAACAAATTGCTTTTGATTTCAAAATGTTAAAAGTCTTCAAAATTACCATGAATTAATTAACCATAGCTAGTAATAAATGTTAGGCAATTCCATTTGATTATGTTAGATTTAAATCTAAAGTTACCACATTGAATTTTTGGATTAAAATTCTTGAGAATCAAATTGGAAATAATAAGAGATTCTGTGTAATAGTTTTTATTTTATTTAATTCAAAAGATGAAATACTTGTTTTGTAAACAACAAAAAAATATATATTAAAGTATGATAAATACGGGAATATATAATTATTAAAATTAACGAATTGCTGTTAGTTATGGATTTTGCATAAAGCGAAGAGAGATATTAAAAATTGGAAAAAATAGGGGAAGGAACATATGGATTAGTTTACAAAGCAAGGGATAATCAAACTGGTGATATTGTGGCATTAAAAAAAATAAGAATGGATCATGAAGACGAAGGTGTTCCATCCACCGCAATTAGAGAAATTTCATTATTGAAAGAAGTAAAATTTAATAAATAATTTTAGGTTCAACATCCAAACATAGTTCCATTAAAAGATGTAGTTTATGATGAATCAAGATTATATCTGATATTTGATTTTGTAGATTTAGATCTTAAAAAATATATGGAGAGTGTACCTTAGTTAGATAGAATGCAAGTGAAGAAGTTCATTAATTAAATGTTACAAGCCCTAAACTATTGCCATTAAAATCGAGTCATTCACAGAGACTTAAAACCATAAAATATCCTAGTAGATATTAAATAATAAAACACCTAAATTGCAGACTTCGGATTAGCCAGAGCATTTGGTTTACCTTTAAAAACCTATACTCACGAAGTTATTACCTTATGGTACAGAGCCCCAGAAATTTTACTTGGATAAAGATAATATTCCACTCCAGTCGATATTTGGTCATTAGGATGCATCTTTGCTGAAATGGCTTAAAAAAGACCATTATTTTGTGGAGATTCAGAAATAGATTAGTTATTTAAGATATTTAAAATTATGGGAACTCCAAAAGAATCTACTTGGCCTGGTGTTAGTACTTTACCTGACTTTAAAAGTACTTTCCCAAGATGGCCAACTCCTACTAATCCTGCAACCGCTTTAGGAAAAGACATTACTAATTTATGTCCATTAGGATTAGACCTCCTTTCTAAAATGATAGTGTATGATCCATATGTTAGAATCACTGCAGAGGAAGCCTTAAAACATGCTTATTTTGATGATTTAAATAACTGACATTAAATCTATTATACTAAATTATCTAATAATAATTAGTTTATATCCAAATATATTAAGAAATAAATTATTTCAACATTTTAATTTTTATACTTCTAAATATCTCCTGTCAATCCTTTATTATTACTATCATAATTCCATTTATATCTGTTAGCTAATATAATAATTTTTATTATCAATTAGAGGAATTAACTTCATCATGTAATCAAAATAAGTTTATCAAAGTAACCATCAATATTTATTTATCTTGAAAGAGTGAATCAACCAAATGCAAATTTAATGTATTATATTTAATTATAAATTTATATTATTATAATTATAAATTATGGGCAAAAATATTGAATAAGAAGAAGTTGATAGGAAATAGACCAAAGAGTAGGTTTTGACAATAAAAAAGAATAGAATTACAAAAATTGGCAAATCCATAAAGAAACTGGTGGTTCTAGATTAAAAACAAATAAAGAAGGCAATAAATGCTTTATTAAAATACCGAGAATCTACTCACACTGATAACATCCTGGACATTAAAGATGATTTTATTTATTTAGAAATAGTATTAAACAAATTGCCAATTAAATATTCATTAAGACCTGTATAAATGTAAAAGAGTATGACTAATTAAAATTAGATAATTGCCAAATGCTATTTACAATTAAGAGATGAATTCTAAATTTTGTATAATTAGTACAAATCCTTAAAGATAATTCAAAGATTAAATTTGTGAATTTGATATTCCTTTGATCTAAAAAGTCATAGGATATGGTAAATTGAATAAAAAATACCCAACTTATACAGATAAGAGAAAATTATTTTATGAATATGATTAATTCTTTTGTGATTAAAGGATATATGGAAATTTAGCAAAAGGTCTAGGAAAAATCTTTTATGATCGAAAAAAGTAATGAAATTTTAATGTTTAGAATACCATTTCCAATCAATTGTGAAAATATTACTTAAGAAGCATTGAATGAATTATAAAATTTCACTTATTTTATATAAGGAAATGGTCCTGTATAGTAATTTAGACATGATAATTTAGTACTGTAAAAATAGGGAGAGTTGCTTAGACAGCAGAATAAATAACATAAAATGTATTGGCAGCAGCTTATGAAGTTTTACCTCATGTGTTGTAAGAAAAGGGGATGAGTTTAAGTTGCTTAAGATAATTAAATGTCAAGTTATCTAGTTCAGTATCCTTACCTTTCTATACCAGACTTAGTGTTAGAGAGATAGAAGCTTGGAAAAATAAATGATAAATTTTTTATTTATGTTTAATATACATATATACAATTAGGAGATAAAATTAACCAAATTAATGAATCTTTAAATAATCAATATAATTGCAGAAGCTAAATAAGTACTATTAAAGGATCTATTTATATTTGATTCTTAATAATTGTTTTAAAAATAGAATAAATTTGAAAAAGCATAAGTCATTTATTGAATTCTATTTATAAAAATCAATATTGTAAAAATTAAAAAATTAGTGGCAAAACATTAAATTAATGCAAAAGAGAAATTGAAATTACTAAATAATAAACATCTCAAAACAGTAACAATTATAAAATGAATTTTGATTACAAAAGCTAATGAGTATTTAAGAAACAAGAGTATATTGAATATAGCCAAGCAAAATAAATGATTAGTAAGAAAGAAGCATTATCAAAATTTAAAATGTCTATAATGAGTTATTGAATAATTTAAAATGCAAATACTTTGGTTGGCCTCTAATAATAAAGAAAAAAATATAATTGAAGGAAAAAATTAGAAAATTAACATCTAAATTACTCTTAATATTTTGAATTAGAATTTATTTGATTAAAAACCAAGAAAATTATAGAAAATTAGTTGATTATAAAGGGAATCTAAAAAGAAGTGTATATACAATTCTAAAAACAGACTAAGAGAATCAGAGAATTGTTACCTTAAGATATCTATGTTTTTCAATAGAGAAAGAATAAACTAATATAATGAACTTTACTTATAAAGGAAATAATTGTGAGATTTACATACATAAAATTAATTAAATAAAATATAGAAATGTCATAGTAGCAGGATCAGCCTAGTGCTAAGAAACGTATTAGAAGATGTACAAAACACGATGAAAATCCGAGACCATATACATGCGGATGTGGACGTGGTTACTATAGTTATCCTGCATTATATACTCACTTGAAGTATTTAATAAATAAATGTAAGAATTAAACATGATGGCCAACCTCCTACTGGTACATAGATTCCAAGTGATAAGCATTATGGTAGTAGAGGAAGACCAAGAGAAAAGAATACAAAATGTGATGAAGAAAGCAAGCATCAAGTGTTTATTGATGAAGAAAAAAGGGAAGATAACAAGAAGGAAGAGAAAGTTATACCAAATTAATGAAATCAGAAGAGAGCATTGTTCTTTTTTCTTTTATTAATAATTTATATCTAATACTTAAAATAACATCTTTCTATCGATAAATTTAAAACAAATTTAAGTATTTTCATAGCATAGATATTTAAGGAATAAATCATTTTTCGAATGTAAATTTATTAGATAATTTTAACAAAAATAATAATAAGAAATCTAATATTCATTATTATTCATTCTAACCTAAACTCTTCTACATAGATGGATTACTAATGAATTTAAAACAATTTATTGATAGATTTTTAAGTCTTTACTCAAAATTGTAGAGTATATTTCAATGAAGAATTAGAATAAAAAGTAAATACAGAGACCTAATATTTTAATGAATAATTTCTAAAAAGCATTCCCAATGGCAAAATACTAAAAGATATCAAAAGTATTTAACAAAGTTTCTATTAATTAACTAAGTCTGCAGTAATTATTTAGCATAAATAGTTAAAGTAAATATAATATTTTGCAAAAATAATTATAATATTCAACTCTAAATAAAATGATTCCTTGAAGTTCTGAAGATTTTAATTTAAAACTAGAGGAAAGTTGAAAACTGAAAAATTAGAGACTACTTAAGCAAATAATAAAGACAATAGCTACTTGAAATTTTAACATTTATCTAATTATTTTGCATCATCTGATTAGAGCGAAGACTAATATCCATTTTAATTAAAAAAAACAAGAATATTTTTAATATTCATCAACAGCTTCACAACTTGAACTAAATAATTTATCTATAATTAGTTTTACAATTATTTTTCACATTTTATTTGATCTTGATTATACTTGAGTAAATTAGAATCTCTATCCATTATATTTATATCTTATTTTAATTATATGGATTAATCTGATGAGACTGAGGTATTTTGTCAATACTTCTGTTAGATAACCTTATAAGTTTGTGATCCAAAAGTAACCCCAGGAATAAATAAATATATTGTGTACACAGTGAAAGGAATGGATAAAAATGGATAATTTGATGTTCAGAGAAGATTTAGTGATTTTAAGACTATTCGATCATTTCTTTTGACAAAATGGCCAGGATGCTATATACCACCTGTTCCACCAAGAAAAGCTTTTGTATTAAATTTTCTTAAGCTGTGTAGGGTAATATGGAATAATAATTTATTGATGAACGAAGGCTGATGCTCGAAGATTTTCTAAAGAAAATAGCAACTCTCAAATATTTATGGTATTCAGAAGAATTTTAAATTTTCTTAAAAACTCCTGGTGAAATTGAAAAAGTATTTTTTGACGTCATACAAGGCTTTGTTATCTATTCCTAAAATAACAAATGATGAGATTATCAATAAATATCAAGAATCATTCTCAGAATTATCTGGTGTAAACTATTAAAAATTATTCACTTCTAGAAAGAAATTAATAGAGAGATTATTTAGAAAATTAACGATTTTAAAGCATATATAAAGAAAATTTAGCCAATGGTATAAAATTTTAAGTAAATTGCAAAAAATATCGCTGAAGCCAAATCAGCTCATTAAACATCGTTAATTCATTTCATAACAATATTTGTTCCAGAATATGAAAATAATGTTTTGTTGGAATATGCTGAACAAAAAGAGAAATTGATATTTGCTAATTTAATACAGAATGAAGAGGTTAAAGGTTTGATTAATTAGTATGTAATACATTATTTAAGATTATTTAGTGTGACCTATTAAAAGATCCTAAATTTTAATAGCTATATTAGGAAGTTAGAAAGGAGGGTAAATAGTTGAAAGTAATTTGAATTGTTGAATATTAAAGGCATTTCTTGAAACATTTGAAGAGAGAGAAAAGTATGAGTAATAGAAAGCAAATGCAGAGTAGCGTTAAAAAGAGTTATAATTGCAATTATAAGAGGTTTTAGCAGGCAAGACTACAATTAGAACATTGTTTTCTAAAGGGAAAAAAGAAGACAATGTTGCTAAACTCTAATAACAAATTGCTGAAGTAGGGAAGGAAATTGAAAGTTATCAATTTATTTGTGATATATTAACTGTACTTGTTGGATATGTAGAAATTGATAAATTTAAAGGGGAAAAGCAGTATCAATATTACTGCATGATTAAGAATATTATTTCTTATGAAATTAGTCTGTCTTAAATTGCAGAATAATTTTGGAGCAAGGTTTCAGAAAGTGAAAATATGCTATAATAATATTGATAAAATCATATTTATTGTTAACCTATAAAAAAATTTGATTACTATTTTATTGTTTCTAAACGTAAAGAGCTTTCCTAATATAATTACTGTGTGACTTTAATTCTTTCAATTAATTGTTTTTCTAATTATTCAAATTTTTCTTATTTTAACTTTGTAGTTTAATTTTTAAATACATTTTTTAAGCAAATACTTATTTATCAAACCAAATTTAAGTTAATTTTCTCTGATTAAATTTATTCCATCTTTTTGTTTCTCTAATAGGATCTCTAATTTTAAGCTTTTACTTGTCTTATATTTTTAGGGAAATCTTATTCCATTCTTATTTTGAATTCTCTAGTCTACAAAATTCTCTATGAGACACTTAACATAACTGCAAATAATAGATTCTTCTTTATTTCCCTTTATTTTAATCAATAATAATGTATTTCTCTCTGCTTTTATATTTCTTATTTTCCTTTTCCTATATTTTCTCTTTGAAAATTAGCATTCCTTTCCGTTTGTTTATCCTTCTCAAATTTTTGTTATTTACAAAGGATTATTTTTTGTAAATTTTTCTCAAAGCTTTTTTGTCTAGTTATTACAATTCATTCTTTCAAAATATTTCTTTATTTAGTAGATTATAATAATTAATCTTATTTTTTAAATAATATCATCCAACAATTTATTTACTTCGGGATATCTTTAATATATTATTCTGTATTTAACTAATCATACAGTTCTGATTATACTATTCTTTATTATTATTTAATAATTTTGGATTAGAGTAGTCGCCCACCCAATTTGGCTATTAATTCTGTAACTATAGGTAATTGGTTAAGAAAAACCTAATTAAAATTTGAATAAAAAAAAGAAAAACCCCCAATAAGTTTTATAGTATTTAACTTAGAATTTATAAATAAATGAGAAAGCTGAACTAATGAGAAATAAAATAAGATTTTAATAAGGATATATTTGAATAGTAGATTTATAATAATCTTAACAATAATTTTCATTGTTGTAGCTACATTTTTTATAATAATTTGTTAACTTATTGATTCATCTTGCTAATATCTTAATTTATTTTTTATTCCTTTTCAACTTTAATTATCTACAATTTGTTTATCAGTAATTGCTTTTAATTATCTCTATTTATTATGAATTATTAGATTTAGCTATTTAGTTTTTATTTAAGGACTTGTAATTCATTAATTTATTTTTTCGTTAATTAATTCAATTTATTTTCTATTTTTTCAACATGTTATTTTTCCCATTTCTAATTTTCTAAATCAATCTATTCCTACAATTTTTTCTAAACTAGATCTGCGTCAGCATAACTATATATATTTAATTTATACTGCCCAGCTCTGAATAACTAATTATATAAAGCTTATTTTTATATAATCTCTGAAGAAAATTTAATTTTTGGAATAGATTACTCTTGTAATTATTTTTATAATTATTCCATTTCCTTGCTATGATTATAATATAACATACAAATGGAGTTGGTAGATGGTATTTTCTGCTTCTTTGATTCTATCTTATTCAATTTTGTAGAGGTCCTCCCAAGCCTCATCAAATTCTTCTAGTTATAGTTTTTATTAAAACTCTATCATTTATAACTAAATATTTTAGAATTATACTTCTGCATCGTATTATTCAGCTTATTTAATTGATTTATAGATTATAGAAATAGAATTCAAATCATCAATCTTTTCTATATATTATTAAGTTTATTTTAGTTAACCCTTTTTTTTAGAATCTTCTTTCTTGATTTCTATAACTGATCTAAAATTCTATAGCGATTGATACATATAATCTTCGATTTACTCAAGTTTAAAATTCTCCATATTCGTTAATATTAAAGATAAATTCTTTTTTATTAAATCTAAAATATTCTTAATATTTGCATATAAATCAAATCATAAAATTTACTCAATTATAAATCATAAATATTTATGTTTTGTTATTATCTCTAAAATACTAACAGTGTTCCAAACTATTAAATGATATTAAAATGATCTACTATACAATTTTTTATTTATTGCCAATAGTAAAAGTTTTTCAACACATAATATATTAAATTTTGCTCTTTAAAGAGATGTATGGTCTGATAGAATCAATAGGGATTATTTATCTTAAGTGAATTTATTTTAATGATCTGTAATAATGATTTTTTGTTGGATTACATATGAATTTTAATTTTCAAATATAATTTAAAGAAATTATTTTCTTTATTTTTAATGTTTTGAAATTTTTGATGAGGAAAATCAATTATAAACAAAAAATATGGAGATTAATAGCATTCAAGGGAAAAAATGCTATATAATTATTGATTTTGATTATGTTTCATAAAATTCTAATCAAGTAAGTATGAATATCCAAAAGACAATTAATTTTCTTAAAAAATGATATTCAAAGTAATTATTGAAAATACTACTAAGAAATGGAGCAAATAGGAAATATCAACTAAGCTAATATTATGTAAAAGTATATTCTTTCATAATATTTTGATTTATAATAAACAATCCAAAATATTTTCATTAATACATACAATTTAACATTTAAGTTTTTACTTTGCATACTATAATAAGTTTATTAAACATATTCTATTTAAGGACATTCTGTTGGTATTTCATTAAATTTATTTTATACTATAATATTCTAACTATTTTTCTTTATTTAGGGTCTGTGCATTTACTCTAAACTTTGATCTATAAAAGTCATATTAACTTTTGAATATTGAATCCTCCTTAGAAATTTAATATTCATCAACAGAGCCTGATTATGATTAAGAGTTAGAAACTCTTTTAAAGTCTTAATTATCTTTAAAAAGTTAAACTTCCAAATAAATTTAGCAATGTAGACTAATGATACTGGAATGATTACTAATAAAAAATCACATTTAGCACTGTTAAATGATTAAAACAAATAAAATTCAATTTATTAAGATAAGTGCAATATGTGGGTAAAGATATTTCTGAATATTCATCTCTATAACTATAAAAAAGTCTAGTTTTGGAAAATTATGTCAAGGTATTTTGCATTCTCTCTCTTTTTTATCTCAATGATTAAACTTTGCATTCAAATTTATCTTCGTTCAAATTCTAATTATTCACTCCAATTAGTACCATTTCCTTCTTTATCTCTAAGCAACACAAGAATAAAAGATATGTAAAAAGAAAATGCCATTTTTTTCATCATTTACTTTTTGATATTTTTGAAACAATTTTTCAAGAAATTTAATTTAATCATCTTTGGTTTAAGTAGTGAACATCATAATATTGATATTAATTAATTCTAATAGAAGTAAAATAATAATGATTATTAATTACAAATATTTTAAACTATTTAATGGTCATCATTAGAAAATATAATATGATAGAAATTATTTTTATTTTTAGCAGCAATCTATTTAAGACAAACTATTTTTTATATTTATGACAAATTAATAAATTTCTTAATTATATTCGTTTTACTTCATAAATTCTTATAATTTTTTTTTTAACTGTAGAAAATAATAAAAAATTTATCATTTTTCAAAAAATATTTCTTTTATAACATTTTCGACCCCCTTCTTGAAGATATCTAGGATTCAAAACCAAGCACCCAGAAAAGGAATAATTATTTTTTTAAGAGTTAACATCATAAAACACTTGAAAAATGAGAGAAGTTATATCTATTCACGTAGGACAAGGAGGTATTTAAGTAGGAAATGCATGTTGGGAATTGTTTTGTCTCGAACATGGAATTCAACCTGATGGATAAATGCCATCAGATAAAACAATAGGAGGAGGAGATGATGCTTTCAACACATTTTTTTCAGAAACAGGTGCAGGAAAGCATGTTCCAAGATCTGTGTTTTTGGATTTAGAACCCACAGTTATTGATGAAGTCAGAACTGGAACTTATAGACAATTATTCCATCCAGAGTAATTGATTTCAGGAAAGGAAGATGCTGCCAATAACTTCGCAAGAGGACATTATACAATTGGAAAAGAAATTGTTGATTTGTGTTTGGACAGGATTAGAAAATTAGCTGATAATTGCACTGGTTTATAAGGATTCTTAGTCTTCCATACAGTTGGAGGAGGTACAGGGTCAGGACTTGGATCATTGTTATTAGAAAGATTATCAGTTGACTATGGTAAAAAATCAAAATTAGGATTTACAATTTATCCATCACCCCAAATATCAACAGCTGTAGTTGAGCCTTACAACTCAATTTTATCTACTCATTCTTTATTGGAACATACAGACGTGTGCGTTATGTTAGATAACGAAGCAATTTATGATATTTGCAGAAGAAATTTAGATATTGAAAGACCAACATATACAAATTTAAACAGGTTGATTGCCTAAGTTATCTCATCTTTGACTGCATCTTTAAGATTTGATGGAGCTTTAAATGTTGATATTACAGAGTTCTAGACAAATTTGGTTCCATATCCTAGAATACATTTTATGTTATGTTCTTATGCACCTATCATTTCTGCAGAAAAGGCATATCATGAATAATTATCAGTTGCTGAAATTACAAATTCAGCATTTGAACCAGCAAATATGATGGCCAAATGTGATCCAAGACATGGTAAATATATGGCTTGTTCAATGCTTTATAGAGGAGATGTTGTTCCTAAAGATGTAAATGCTGCTATTGCCACAATAAAAACTAAAAGAACAATTTAATTTGTTGATTGGTGCCCAACTGGTTTTAAAGTTGGTATCAATTACTAACCACCAACTGTGGTACCTGGTGGAGACTTAGCAAAAGTAATGAGAGCAGTTTGTATGATTTCTAATTCTACAGCCATTGCTGAAGTGTTTTCTAGGTTAGATCATAAGTTTGATCTTATGTATGCCAAAAGAGCATTTGTTCATTGGTATGTTGGAGAAGGAATGGAAGAAGGAGAATTTTCAGAGGCTAGAGAAGATTTAGCAGCTCTTGAAAAGGATTATGAAGAAGTTGGAATTGAGACAGCTGAAGGAGAAGGTGAAGAAGGAGAAGCATGATAGATTAATTATTTCTACCATCATATTAACACATATAAAAATAAAATTAATTATAAAAAATGAAAGAGCTTACATATTTCATTTGATTCAAATTTTTCTCAAATAAACTGGATTACTTTATATTTTTCTAAATTAAAAAAGGAGAGATTGAAAAAATGTCACATTTTATACAGAAAAAGGAAACTAATGAGCTGATATAGAACTAAAAAATTTTAATCAATTATTAATCAACATTTAGAATCCAGAATGTGTAAAAACTCTATTTAGTTATTCATTCTATTATTAAAATAATGAGTGTAGGTCATTGAAATTTAAATGAAAAAATTCATCTCTTTATTTATTGGTAGTGAAACAAAATAAAAATGCCTATTATCTAATTCATCGTAGAAATATACTATTGAGAGACTTAAATTGAAAAAAAGACACCATTTAAATTTCAGCTTAGAGAGAATGATTAAAATGAAAATTTTAATTGACTTATTCAAATAAAGGAAAGAAATATTTAGTTGTTTTTTTTTTTAATGGAAAAATAATTTTTGGTTCTATGTTAAAAATATATTTATTTTTTTTTGAAAAAAAACAATTTATTTTGTTATTAAATCAGAAATAACAGCTTTTAAGTGTGGTTTAATTGCAAGTAGAATAAAAAAATAGCTTATCCTTTCAAAAGTAATCTTTTTAAATCCTAATAAAAATTTTTTATCATCCTAATAATTGAAATATGAATTTAATTATCTTATCTATTTAACTTATATTCTTATCAAAATTTATTTCTGTTTACTCTATTTTTTTTATCTAATTATTAAAAATGAACAAAATTAATCATAATTTTTGGATACCTTTAATCTGAAGCAGCATCATCAAAGTGTAGACTAAAATGAAAATTTTTTTTTGAACTATGTTTTTTTTTCTATTAATATCTAAAGCTTAATATACCAAATTCAATTCTACAAGGAAAGATTTGAAAATTATAATATTAATTTCTTATTTATTTAACCCTTTTTATAGTTTTTTATTTTTAAGCAAATTTGAAAATTTGAATTTTTTTCTTAGTTTATACATAATCATTCAATCTAGATAAATTTGTTTAAATTATCTGCTTTTCATTATAGGTTAAGAATTCATAATTGTATTACTATATTATTTTAACATATTTATAAGAAATGAATAAATTCAAAATTACCTTCTATTTTTCAAATGTTAGTAATATAAAATTTTATTCTATCCTCAACAAAATATTTAATATAAAATAACTTTTTTTTTAAGGTTACATTAAATAGTACTACTCCTTTAAGAAATTACAAATAATGAAATTTAATTTTTCTTTTCTGATCCAAAAATTGATAAACAGCTTTTTATTAATGAGAAGTTTCATTTTATTGCTCTTCTTATTAATTTGGATTAATTGTCAGTTTTAATGTAAGAATAACTCAAATATTTTTGATTAAATAATAATCATAAAATGATTGTGTTCATTCTTCTTATTTGCATGAATACCTCTAAATCATTTAAAATATAAACTTTGGACCCTGCATACTAAGTGGCTTATTAATCGGTGAAGATTGAAGAGGAAATTTCTTAGCCTAACCAATGTTTTAATTTCGGCCTTTGGTCTAGATACAATCCCTTAAGTTCAATATCCCATGTTGGTCCAGTTGGAATATTTGCTACTAATTTCTCAATATAATTGATATAATCAATGATGAGATAATTTTCATGTATTACGATTGTTTAGATAATGAGGAAAATTAAATAAAGAAATATATCAAATTTGTGAAAGATGATGGAGAATAGAAAATATATGAGATTCAGATAAAAGGAAATGAATATGAAAGCTTTTGATATTTTCTGGAAATAATATCGTGGCTAATGAATCAACAATTTGAAATTGTAATAATAAACTTAATCATAATTACAATTATGGTAAAAAATTGATGAAATAAAAAATCCATTTGGATAATATTTTTTAATTGCATATGGAGGTAGCCTAATAGTAGAGAATAAAATCAATTGTAACAGAATAAAAATTTTCGTATTTTCCTGGTAGAATAATAATACAAAAGTTATAGATAGAAGATTAAATAACAATTGATAATTGGTTCGAATATGTGAAAAAGAATTTTAAGAGTATGAAACCTGTAATTGTTAACCTAATCAAAATAATTAAATTCCAGATTTACATCTAAGTTCTTCTTAAAAAGGAGAATTTGTTTCTGAATAAAAAAACTGTAATTCTTTTATTTTATCAGGATGGTTTAAAATTAAGAATATCATAAATTAAAATGATGAATTTATTTATCCATTTATAAAAATAGCTGCCAATTTTGAAAATCCTACTTTGTCAAATAAAAATTTGTCTCCTATATAAGTATTCTATAATTTGTCTAGAATTAAAAATTAAATCACAATCTATTTTACTAACAATCTTAATTTAATAATAAACTCCTTCGAAATTTTAAACAGCATAACAGTATGGCATAAGATTTAAATTAAATTATTAAAAAGTTAGATGGATATTCAGATTACTTTCTATGATGGTTACAAAATTAATTAATACAGTAAATAATTATAAGTTAGGCAATTTTAAGAAAATTAATTTAAATTATAATTTGGAAATTATGAATAGCTTGAAACAAATTATTTAGACTTATAGATAAATAACTTTTATTTTTTTAATTGTGATTAATCTTTCTCTGAAAATAATTGCCATCATACCTGTTTAGAATGTGATGGACCAACAAAAGAAGATTGTTTATCTTGTTCTGAAGAAAGTAAGAGAATTTACTTACCAGAATACAAAGAATGTATTTGTCCTATTAATACAATCGATAATTAAATTTGTATTGGCTATTTTGAGGCATAATTATAGTTAATTGAAGAGCCATTCATCAGTCAAGAATGTGAATATGGTTATTATGAGTTAGAAAACGAATGCTCGAGATGGTAATTTATGTTCAAATATTTGGTCCTTCAATCATAAGTAAAACTTTAAGAACTTGTTTAGAATGTCTTTAAAATCCTAAATCATTTAGTTTATAACCATTTTGTCGTAACGACTTACATATAAGTCAACAAAGTTAGACAGAAATGCTTAACTATTAATATTATGATCATTTGCTTTTTAATGGAATTGATACTAATGAACTCAGGTGCTCTACGTGTTATAAGGTCCCATATTAAGACCAGGATTACATATATCAAGATTTTTAGCAAAAATCTTAAGCTTTTTAGACATTCTATGTCAGTCAGAATTAAAAATGCCTTGAAAAACATATTTCAATAGTTGGATTGAAATGTATAAGGTGCATGAGCGAAATATAATTTGAAAATGGAGAATGTAATAATTATATATATTATGAAACTGATGCCATTTGTAATCCTCCCTACTATGTTACCTCTAGAAATAAATGCAATTTATGCCCGATAAAAAATTGCATTTATTGTTTTGAATATCAAAAGGAAGACACTAACTTTAAAAGCACACTTTCAGCTAGTAATACTTCTTACTCTATGACTAATAATTTAGACTGTTATTTATCAGAAAGCTAATCAATTAAACTGATATACTCTAAAATTATTACAATGCTTTCCCTTATGTCTTTTTAATTTGTTCTTGTTATTATGGGATTTCTCATATATTTTAAGTATCAAAAATTGAAAATTTAATTTTTTCATTTTGAGACTATATCAAATAGTTTGCTCTATCTATATGTTTCGAATTATGGTGGATTGATTAAGATGTAAGCAAAATATATCTATATTAGGTATTTTTCAATTCTTTCTAGAAGAGAAATATCAAATCAAAGTTATATTTAGGGAGATGTTTCATTACTTTTTGGATCTAGAGAGCATCAAATTTGGTTGTTTTTCTTTGTAATTCCAGGAATAGGATTCTTTTGTTTGATTATACCTCTCTCCCTTTTTATTTTAATGTATATAAAGAGAAATCAACTTGACTCAATTAAAATTAGAAAAAATTTTTGTTATCTTATTAATGAATATGAAAATACTACTTACTATTGGGAAATAATTAAATTAATAAAAAAAACAATTATGATTTTATTATTAACTTATTTTGAAACGAACATTCTATTGAAAGCTTCATTATTGGGGCTATGCTTACTTTTTTATTAATTGATAGCTGTAAAAAACAAACCTTTTATTCTGTAGAATTTGAACAATTTGGATTTATATTCAGGTTAGATTTGTTCTATCACAATATTCCTTGCTGCTGCTAAATATGTATCAGAATATGAAAATAATTAATTTTCATCGAATACACTCTCAATATTTATTGTCTTGCTTTGCGTTAGACTGAGTTATCCATTTATTTTCAATATATCTGGAGCTTATCTTAAAAATTATTATTCACTTCTTATGAATTCTTCACATAAAATTATGGAAAAGATTTCAAAAGATTCTACCATAACAAAAAAATTAAAAATGAATTTAAAGTAATATAATCTGAAAAAGTAGAGATAGAAAGATTTAATCAAAAAATTAAGATAATACCTTCTGAGATTTTCAAAAGTCCAACTTGAAACAAATAGGTACCAAATATTATTATTTTTAGATAAATGTTAACTACAAATAATTTCTCTTCAAAAAAAGATAATTAAAAATCATTGTCAAAATAAACATATTTTTTTAAGCTTGATTCTAAGTGATTAGTAGAAGAAATAAATTTATAATTCATTATAAATTTGATTTTAATAAACTTAATAATAATTTTTCATTATAAATGTAATTTGATTTTGATCAACAACTTTTTTTTTAATGGGTGAGTAAATATTTCTAAAGCCATTCGTAAAGCATTTCAATCCATCAATCCTGTAATTTAATACACAATTTGGGTTGGCCTTCTTATTCCCTAACTCAACAGTCCTACCTACATAAGATAGCAAAGCAGTCAAATTTATTTTTTAATTTTAATTTTTTCTAATATTAAATGCTTTACATAATTTTTTGTTTTTTGTTTTTGCTTTTTGAATTTTATTCATTTTATTTTTTTAATTTTATATTGTAATATTTTAAGCTTTCGATTTGTTTCATAGATGGTTTTGAACAGAGTTTAGGGTTGAATACTTGAAATTTCCTGCTTAATAATTTTCATTATTTTTAGAGAATTTATATTAAGTATAAAAATGTTTTATTTTAGAGAATACATGAAGTGTTACTTTTTGAAATATTGCATTCATATTTTTGTGATAACTTGAAGACTTATGAAAGTGAGGTGTTGCTACAAATTGATGTATGATATGTTTTGTTGTATTACTATTTTTATGAAAAATACAATTGTGATTGATTTTTTTGTTAAAAAAAAGATTGCTCAAAAATTAATCTTAGTTATTGAAAAAAGTGAACACTTTATTTTTTGAAAATTGCTTTCATATTTTAATAATTAAAATAGGTATATAGATGAGGTATTCATATTATCTCTCAGCATCGCCCCTCTATCAATTAATGTATGACTTATTGATTTTTATGAATAACCAATTTTTTACATAAGTAATATTTTATAAATTTTATATAAATGTAGAAAAACTTAGTATGACCTTTTAAAAAATGTTCCCTTGTCCCCCAGGGAAATTGTGGCCAGTGGTATTAATCATTTCTGACCTTTTAATATATTAATTCAAAATTCAAACAATATATTTTATAAATATCTCGAATAAAGTATAGAATCTGTACATTTTTATAGATATAGTTTTCATATTTTAGAAATTTATTTCAATAATTTGAAATATCATCTATATTTTTTATTTATGAAATGACTTCATAATGAATAGACTTATTATTAAATATTAATGATGGTAATTATAAATAATCTAATCCAAAAAAAATCCTTTACAATATTGAATAAATGGAATCAAAGTTTATGAAAATCTAGAATATCTTATCATTATGTGTTCTCTTTGATAATTTTCTTTCTAAAAAACTTATAATTTTATTTTTTTGATTAATACTGAAGTTTGTAATGTAAATTATTTTTAATTAATGCTATTTCTATTAAAAAATTTAAAATGATTCCCAGAAACTAAGATGTCATATAAGCAAGCCAAAAATTATAAAATCCAAATTTTTAAATTAATTAATTAGAGATTTAAAATTTAGGGATTCCAAAACCTCAATAAACATTATCTCGAGCAAAATAATCAATTGAAATAGTTGATTTATATGGTAAAGGTGTATTTAAATCATTTATTTAAAGGTGTAAGCCTACAGAAAATGGGTCAATATGAAAAGGCAATTGAATGGTATGACAAAGCATTGGCCATCAATCCGTAATTTTTAGCTTGTTTTCATAAAAAAGGTATATTTAAAGTAATAATTTTAAGGTACATGCCTACAGAAAATGGGTCATTATGAATAGGCAATTGAATGGTATGACAAAAAATTGGCCATCAATCCATAATCTGTATATTCTTTACATTTAAAAGGTATATTTAAATCATTTATTTATTAAAAGGTTTTTGCTTACAGAAAATGGGTCGATATGAATAGGCAATTGAATGGTATGACAAAGTATTGGCCATCAATCCATAATTTCTCACTTGTTTTCATAAAAAAGGTATATTTAAAGTAATAATTTTAAGGTACATGCCTACAGAAAATGGGTTAATATGAATAGGCAATTGAATGGTATGACAAAAAATTGGTCATCAATCCGTCATCTTTACTTTCTTTACATGGCAAATGTATATTTAAACCAATTAATTTAAGGTGAATGCTTACAAAAAATGGGTCAATATGAATAGGCAATTGAATGGTATGACAAAGCATTGGCCATCAATCCCTAAATTTTAGCTTGTTTTCATAAAAAAGGCATATTTAAGTAATAATTTTAAGGTACACGCCTACAATAAATGGGTCAATATGAATAGGCAATAGAATGGTATGACAAAGAATTGGCTATAAATCCATAATCTGTGCATTCTTTACAAGGCAAAGGTATATTTAAATCAATTATATAAAGGTGTTTGCCTACAGAAAATGGGTCAATATGATAAGGCAATAGAATAGTATGACAAAGAATTGGCCATTAATCAGTAATCTGTAAATTCTTTACATTTAAAAGGTATATTTAAATCAATTATATAAAGGTTTTTGCTTACAGAAAATGGGTCAATATGAATAGGCAATAGAATGGTATGACAAAGAATTGGCCATTAATCAGTAATCTGTACCTTCTTTACATTTCAAAGGCATATTAATATCAAATATATAAAGGTTTTTGCTTACAGTAAATTGGTCAATATGAATAGGCAATTGAATGGTATGACAAAGCATTGGCCATCAATCCATAATTTATAGCTTCTTTTCATAAAAAAGGTATATATAACGCAATAATTTAAGGTACATGCTTACAGTAAATTGGTCAATTTGTATAGGCGATTGAATAGTATGATAAAGCATTGGCCATCAATCCGTAATATATACATTCTTTAAATATAAAAGGTGTATTTAAATCAATAATCTAAAGGTACATGTTTACAGTTAATGGGTCAATATGAATAGGCAATTAAATAGTATGATAAAGCATTGCTTATCGATCCATAATTTTTAGATTGTTTTCTTAACAAAGGTAAAGTTAATTCAATAATCTAAAGGTACATGCCTAAATGAAATGTGTCAATACAATTAGGCAATTAAATGCTATCATAAAGCATTCATCATTGATCCGCAATTTGAATAATATTACAAAGGTATAATTTATCAATTATTTGAAAAATTATGACAATGAATTATTTTTATTTGTATTCTAATTTTAATATATTAAAATATTTTTATAGAATTTATTTTTAATTTTTAAATTACTATTACTATTTTTAAACTAACTTAATCTTATTAAATTAGATTTAACTTTGAAGTATACTTTTTAACTTTACAAAAAAATAACACATAGAAACCTATACCAGTAATAATAATAATACTTTAGAATGTTGTTTGATTAAGCTTCTTTAATTAGTTAATATTAATAAATTTTTTAATTTAAGAAGTCTATGAAGAAACTGAACTTATAAATATATCCATTTTAATATCTGCAAAAAATATTTAATTTTATATATTATAGAAGTTATAAGGTAGTTTATAAGAGATATTTACCCGAATGAAGGATTTTTTTTATTGATATAAATTCAGTTTCATTTTAATAATAAAGTTCTATTAACTTTCAATTGTTAATTCAGAAAAATTTCAAATGCATTCTCATATTTTTAAGAAAATTATGAAGTCATTGTTACTTAATGTTCATTTATCATTATCAAATTTAAAATTTGTTCATATTATCCTAAATTCCATTTAGACTAAAATTTCATATATTTGGGCAGAAAGATGCCCCCAAAGATTTTCTCTTGTTGTGCCTTACTTTATTACTTTAATTTAGAATATTTTTAATTTTATTTATTATTTAAAGATTTTAAAGCTTTGTAATAGTAACGATTTAGATGTAGGTAGAATTATTTATATAAGGTGCTTTTAACAAAAAAATGATAAATAATAATAAATTATTAGATCATGTATATTAATATTTCTTTTCCATCATGGTAAGTTTTAACATAATACTTATAAACATTAATAGAAATTTCAATAATTAAATAGGATTAGAATAGATTTTGTGAATAGATTTTAAAATTATAAAGCTAATTGATAGAATTTTTTATAATAATTTTTGAATCCCTCATAAGTTATTTACTAAAATCAGCCTAAGCCAAAATATATTGATTTTATTTTAACTAATTCAAATTTCTTTTCCATAAGGTAATCTGAAACATAATTTGGATCTCCTATTCGATTTTTACAATTTTTTCATGATTTGAATATTAAAAAAAGGATAAAAAATATAAATTGTATCATTAAATCTTGTTCAACTGAAAGCTTCTTAATTTTTTTTCTGCACTCTATAAACTCTTACTTTACGAGTAATTGGTTTAAAAGATATTCTATAGCTTGAATAATTCAAAGTCAAACTTATTCATATATCTTTTTCTTTAAGATTACATCAACAAGTATTAGTCTAAATTAGAAAGCCAAACTATTAATGAGATATTATAACAATTTATCACTTTATTATTTGCAGGTATATATTATTTATGATTCAATTTTTCATTACAGACTCTATAGAAGTTTTATATTATCATTGCCTTTACATTTTTGCGTGGTATCCAGAAGCCCAATAGGAAATTAGAGAAGAAATTTTAAGTGCGTGCACTGAGGAACAAATTTTGGTTGATAAAGTGAAATAATTAAAAAATAATCTGTATTTATTAATGAAATTGAAAGATTAAGAAATTCAGCTGGTAAATTTCCAATCAGAAATAGTATTTAGACACATTAAGTTAAAGATCTTAAAGTATAAAGAGTAAATTTATGGTATTAAATATTAGACTAGAATTTAATAATCAAACATTTCTTGCAATCAGTTTCGGAATAACATTTTATAAACCTTGAAGATTTTTATCTTAAAAGATGGCTAACTCCTAAACAAATCCTTGACAACATCTTCTAAGATAAAATTGAATCTTATTTTACTTTACCTTCCTTTCTCGACAGGTCCAAAGAATTGCAGCGTATGACATTAATGAAAACAAAAGTAATACTTTCTTAAATTAAAAAATAGTTTATTATATAACCCAATGAATTTGTAGTACCTAAATGGACTCTAAGATTTTTATATCAGTTAGAACCTAGTAACTGTGTAAGATTAATCAAAATTTAAGATAATCATAATTGAAGATTGGTATTTTCAAAGTATAATAAACATTATTTCTTTTTAGAAGGTATTATAATTTAAAAACGTTATTTTTACAATTGTTTAAATACTTGAATTTATGATTGTGTCCGTTTTATAAATTCTAAAAATTGTTTAATTTGTAACTAATTGTAAATTTAAAAAAAATATTTTGAAAAAATTGTATAATCAAAAACTTACAAATTCTTTTTTTTTAAAATACATGAAAGTAATTATTTATCAACTCAAATATCTCTAACTTCTACTTTACACAATAAATTCTGATACATGTGTAAAAGAAAGCCGTGCAGGATCAATAATACTAACTATCAAAGATTCAAATCGAAAAACTTTTTTCTAACTAATAGTCTCACTGCATTACTTAAATTAAATAAAGGGTTTAAAATCAGCAGAATTTATTTCTATCAGCAGGAATTTTACTATAACATCAACAAGATAATTAATGAAACTGTAGTATTAATTTGATTTAACTCTTTTAATATTGAGAATTAGAAAAGTTTAAAAATAGTTTCTCAAAAAGAGCCCTACAACGCAGGACTTAAATATTAATTCCTTGCTTAAGTAAACAGGACAGATTAATTGACCGAATATTTAGAGAGAACTAAAATTAGAGTTATGCTTATTGAGAAGCGAATTCCACAATAGGATGAAAGATATCAAATGGTAAGACATGAAATTATAAAAGAAATTAGAAAAAAAAATTAATTATGAGTTGAATAAAATATTTGTGAAAATACAATATGAAATGTTGTATTTTTAATTATTAGATGATCAATCAAAGACTGCAGGCTCTGAGCATGTAACATGAATAATATTTGAAAACTCTTTTTAAATTTGACTTTCATAAATGTTAGAGTTAATCCATTTGATGGTCTATTAAATGAGATCCTTGAAAATAGAAAGAAATTGATAGAATTAGGATGGGTGGGATGAAGCCCCAAATACCTTGATCGAAGAGGAATTTCTTAATGTTGTTAAATTTATTTAGTATTCTATTATTATTTTTTTTTAATCAAGATTTTTAAAGTAGCAAAATGAATTTTTTTGTTTCATTATTATCTATTAGATGATTTCTCTCTGATTTATTAATTAAGAAATCCTTTACACATTTAATTTACTTGGGATATTAATTATAGGATTTTCATCATCATTAATAACAACGATTCCATTCTAAATTTCAGATTGATCTAATATAATGTCAATTATTAATATTCTACAGATATTCGAAATAAGATAAACCAAAATTAAATTAACTAATTATCTATTGTTTATATTAAATTTAGCACACTTTTTTTATGTCTACTTAAAAATTAAATTTGATCCAGTTTCCCTTAACTATTCTCAAATACTTTAATATTTTCATTACATCCAACAACCACAATCGATTTATCTTTAAAAGCAATAGCACAGTACCATTCATTTTATTTAATTGAATTTTAAATTCATGAGTTTCAGAGCTAAAATGGATTGAAAATTTAAACTTCTTTCTTTTCTTTTTCTTCTGTTTGTTATTTTACATTCACATCTATTATCTCTTCATTTCTTAAATTTCATCATCCAACTTTTATTAAATTTATTGATTCTTTGAGGCAATCCTTATTTCTTATTCCTAAATTCATTTAACCGAATAGAGTTATCTAATGATTATGAATCCAAATATATTGAATGAACAGCCTAATTAATTATAATATGTACTCTTATTGATTACTATATTTTTTGAAACTTAATTCAATTCTTGACTTCTATGAGTCAATTGAAGACAGTGACCCTAAGGAACATATTTATTATTCAATATAAATATTAATAATAAGTATATATAAAAGGCATTTTAAATGATATATTTAATTGAAATAGGATCATTTACAATATCAGAAGATTAATAATTCAGAAATAGTTCTTTTTATTAATTTAAAGATAATAATTCTAAATGAACATAGACCATCAAGAATCTATTATAATCATTTAATAACTTGGATCCTCAGCCTTTCTGATAATGTATCATAATAGTCCACTTTAATTAAATTTCAGATTTATTGAGATTATTTTGTCAAAGAAGAAAATTAAAAATAAACCTCTTTCTTAATAATTTTCGAAATCTTCTGTTCAGCTATAATATAAAATCTAAAATACAATTTCAAATAGACTACAGTTCTTATTACCATTAGAATTTCCTATTAATATTATAAGATAAGAGACGATAATTTTTTTTCAGAAATTCGAATTTGATATATTGAAAAGCCATTGAAAACTTAAAACTGATAAACATTATGAACAAAGTCTTTAAATCTAAATAGTAACAATTATTCTCAAACTTACATTTACAGATTTTTCATTAATAAAATTAAAATTTTTGAATTGTAAATTTTTATCTTAAAAATTTAAGTTTAAAGAATAACCCTTAATTATCTTTATTTCAAACTTTATGAAGCTAGTTAATAATCCTACTTATTTACCAATATCTCAAAGCTCTTAAATATCATGGTCAGAAATTGCTAGATCATTAGATATAATTTGCCTTTTTATAGATTTGATAAAAGTCATACTGCTTATTAAAATATGTAATTAAGTGAAAAAATTAAAAAATAATTCTTATTAAATAGAAAACTAATATTTTAGGATTTAAATTCTTAATATAATTTTACAACTCAACAATTTAAATATTTTTATATGCTTATTTATCTTTATACTTATTCATGATATCTTTATACATGTTTTCAACCAATTTAAGAATAATAATTATTATTTTCTGTATTTAATTTGATATTAGATATCCATTCAAGTTTTAGTAATCATATTTTTAAATAGCCAGAAATATTCCAAAAATAAGATGTAATTATTGTGAATATTAAGGTAAAGTAAATATACATAATAAAAAAGATTTTTTAATTTATCTTCTTTTTGATTAAATGGATTATCAAGAACAAATTCAAATTTTCTCAAAACATTTTTCTGATTAAACAATTGTTATACTTTCTTAAATTATATAT